CGTCTGTAGGAGGGGGGAGAAACTGAAGAAACGGATGTAGCTAAAGAATAGAGGGGGCAGGGATTTAGACATAGGCAAATAGGGATTTTAACCACCATGCTCATTGTTCATGTTCTCAATTAACCCTGCGAAACTTGGCGACAAGAAAAAATTCAGAATTTTACAACTATTCCCGTTTAGCCTTCAGATGAAGGGAGAAAGAGAGGCAAAAAACTGAAGTAAAAAAAGTAATTAAGAGAAAAATGAGAAAAAGGATTAAAGGGAGCAAAAAAACAATAAAAATAATTAAAAAATATCCAATTTTAGATTAGACGAGAATAGAATTTAGTTGATATAAACCTAATTACAGGAAATTAAGGATTTACAGGATACAGGAAGCAAAGGATGACAAATCTATGATTAAACAAGAGAAAGGTAATTAATGGAATACAATAAAAGGAGGGGGGTGACATAAAACCGTTAAATGGATAAATTGATTAACAATTGTCATAAAGAAACTGTTAACAGATTCAAACATAAGAAACAAATTTGAGTTTGTAAAACGTAAAAATGTGAGTTTCGAAAAATTACAAATAAGAAAATTGATCAGATCAAAAATATATCTTGGTTACTGGAAATTTGGTTTAAAACTTGAAGATTATGAAACAAAAACTAGATTTTACAACTATGGTTTAATTTAAATTAATCAAAAAATTATTTAACAGTTGATTGCATACAAGAAAATTCAATACTTAGGTCTGTAAAAAAAGAAAAGGGGGTTAAAAATTTAATATTTTTCAGATACAGAATTAATCCATTTTAAGTTCTACTTTTCCGTGCTACGCCTACCAGAATGGAATCAAAGAATAAAAAAATAATTAAATAAATTCAAAGGTTACTATGTTCAATATAAGCTTTTGTCTGATAGAAACACACAGAGTTGTTATTGTAAAGTTTAGAACCAGAACATACACAGGGTTACCCACAAAGGATGAGATCGAGTCTTCAGAGACGACTGTACATAATACATTTAGTCATTTTTTTTGGTCATAACCATGGTTGCAGCAGGGAACATGTCGTCATTAAAAGCTCATACTTTATGGGTAATTAATCCTGTTTCTTGTTTTGAGATAAATCAAAATTAAACGGAAAAGAAATCACTTCTTTGAAAACATAATATCTAGGAAACTTTTTTATTTGGTCTTCCGGTATCCATGGATTCAAGAATACAACTGCACAGGTGCTACCAGCCAGTCAGGCACTTAAGAATGTGTTAGTGAATATGTATTTAGAAAAATATGAATTAAATTTTAATAATTTATGTAAGCTTTTAGATGAAAAAAGTTATTTAAAAGCTAATTTATTAATATGTTAATATGGGCGTAGTCCTCGACAGTCGACAGGGAGGAGTGGGGGAGGGGGGTGACTAAATAATAAGTAACATTACAACAATGATATTTAAGAATATAAAATCTTATTAATTCAATCTTCTATGTTATATAAGAATCCTCAAGTCTAAATATTTTTAAAAAATTATTTTTCATTCTATTTTCCATAAGAGATTTTACCTTTTTAACAATTATATCTTTTATTTCATCTAAACCTTTTGACTTTAGAACTAATTTTAATTTTTCTTTCTTTCCTTACTTATTTCCTTTCCCTTTTTTATTTTCCTACTCAGATTTAATAAATAGTTTATGTTCTTTTTTAATAAACTTTCTATTTTTATAATTCTTAACTTTTTTCTTCTTTTTTTTAAAACTTTTTTATTTCCATTCTTTCTTTTGTACTTGAACTTGTTCACTACTTGCTATTTGCTTGCTTCTTATTTTAATCCTATAGTTGACTTTTTTATTGCTATTTACTTACCTTATATTTATATTGATTTTCATTTTTCTTATCTTAATTGTTTTAAGTTCTCCTTTCGTCTGTAGTTTTAAGTTCTCCTTTCGTCTGTAGTTTTGAGTTCTTCTTTCTTACCTCACACTTTTATATTTATGGTCAAGAAATATAAGTTTCTCAAGTTTTTTTCTGAAGTTTTCGATATCTTCTTCCTTACTTTAATTCTACACTTAATGATTTCTTTCTTCTTACCTTCTTTCTATAGATATTGATATCTCTTTTCTTACCTTACTTTTATCGATTTTCCTACTTCTACACTTGATGATTATTGATTTTTTGTCTTGTTACCGTATTTTTTATGCTTGTAAATTTCTCCTTTCTTACCTTTCTTTATTCACCATTTTCTGTTCCCCATCCTCATCATCAGACAATCTGTTCATAAATCAAATAAATGAATTTGTGAATATAATCATTATTATGCCGCGTTGAATTGCAAGACAGAGAGAGCATGCGCGTAACTCCTTTGGGCTCCTGCCTCAGGGTTATTGTGACAAGAAACCCCTAAATTTGAAAAAGACGACATCTAGTGTTCAATCTGTATTGTTATGAATCTTTGATTTTAACAAATTAAATCGTTTCTCTTAAATAATACAATACATTGATTTTTAATGCATTCTTGTTTGATTCCAATCCAAATATTTTCATGAATCTAAGAGACTTCAGCCATAATTTTACAGTGTTCCTCGATTTATTGAGCGGCATGTCCAATTCACAATGGTACCAACTAAAAATGTTGTCTCTTTAATTCTCTATCTAAAAAATGAATAGTCTCAAATGCTGTTTCTCAGTGAAGTGATTTATGCAGTAAGAGGAAAGCAGGAAATCGTCAGAATTCAACACCATGGCATCTCAATTCAAGGTTTAAAGTATATCGTTGTAGATCAGACTCAGTGGAGGATCACTCGAAATTAAGTCTACAGTCTCTTTATTTTTTTTTAACCTGCATTCAAAATCCAGAATACAATCATCAGAAGCTAGACTAGATAATGTATCAGCTCTAGACCTAAAGTACAATTAGCTAGACTAGATAATGTATCAGCTCTAGACCTAAAGTACAATTAGCTAGACTAGATAATGTATCTGCTCTACACCTAAAGTACAATTGGCTAGACTAGATTATGTATCTGCTCTACACTTGAAGTACAATTAGCTAGACTAGATAATGTATCTGCTCTACACCTAAAGTACAATAAGCTAGACTAGATAATGTATCTGCTCAACACCTAAAGTAAAATTAGTTAGACTAGATAATGTATCTGCGCTATACCTAAAGTACAATTAGCTAGACTAGATAATGTATCTGCTCTAGACCTAAAGTACAATTAACTAGACTAGATAATGTATCTGCTCAACACCTAAAGTAAAATTAGCTAGACTAGATAATGTATCTGCTCTAGACCTATAGTACAATTAGCTAGAATAGATAATGTATCTGCTCTTCACCTAAAGTACATCAGAAGCTAGACTAGATAATGTATCTGCTCTAGACCTAACGTACAATTAGCTAGACTAGATAATGTATCTGCTCTTGACCTAAAGTACATCAGAAGCTAGACTAGATAATGTATCTGCTCTAGACTTTTAAGTCCAATTAGCTAGACTAGATATTGTATCTGCTCTTGACCTTAAGTACATCAGAAGATAGACTGGATAATGTATCTGCTCTACACCTAAAGTACATCAGAAGCTAGACTGGATAATGTATCTGCTCTAGACCTAAAGTACAATTAGCTAGAATAGATAATGTCTGCTCTAGACATTAAGTACAATTAGCTAGACTAGATAATGTATCCGCTCTAGACCTAAAGTACAATTAGCTAGACTAGATAGTAGATAATGTATCTGCTCTAGACCTATAGTACAATTAGCTAGACTAGATAATGTATTTGCTCTAGACCTAAAGTTCAATTAGCTAGACTAGATAATGTATCTTCTCTACACCTAAAGTACAATTTCTTTAATTTTTAAATAATCACAATTTCACGATGTCTTGAAAACTTGGCTTTCCTTGCTATTTTTCTTTAAAGAATTTGGAATTAGTTTCAAGGTAAAGAATTTGGAATTTGTTTTAAGGTAAAGAATTTGAAATTAGTTTCAAGGTAAAGAATTTGGAATTAGTTTCAAAGTAAAGAATTTGGAATTAGTTTCAAGGTAAAGAATTTGGAATTAGTTTCAAGGTAAAGAATTTGGAATTAGTTTCAAGATAAAGAATTTGGAATTAGTTTCAAGGTAAAGGGTTTGTTCTACTTGAAAAGAAACATTGTGACGAAATGTCCCGATCAGCAATTGAGAGTTTCTTCATTTTTTTTCTTTCTTTCAAAAGAAACTGTTATTTTCTGCCTTTTTTTAGAAAATATTAGAATAAATGGCTTGGCACAACGATCAATATTAATAAATAATGTTTAAACAGTAATATACGGACAGCTTCATCGTATCAATTTTGCTGGTCTGATAGATTGTTGTTTTGTTTTTACCCCCAAAAAAATGGACCCCAGGATACGTTTGTTATTGGTCGAAAAAAAATGTAGCCTCCACCTTATTTTTAAAACTTTGAATGAACCACAAAAAAAATCTAAGAAATCTAAATTTTCAGTTTAATTTAAATGTTCAAAAAAGAAAACTTCACAGTTAAAAACAAAACAAATAAAAATACCAAGGGGGTCGCCAAGTGTTCTATAAAGCATTTTAATTGATATATTTTACCTAAGCCGGGCCCCGTCTGTATCCTCGTATGCCCGCTCTAGTTGTTCCTTCACATGGTTGGTTAGACTGAACCTGCAATAGAAAGACAGTGTGTACAAAAAATGAACTAATGAATTATCAATTTACTGGAAGTGTCGAGATTTTTCAACAAAATTTCGAAGAACATTGAATAGTCAAGATAGACAAGATAATAACAAATGTCTTAAAAATCACAAAATAATGTTTTAAGAAATACATAAGACTAAACCTGCGAAGGTTCGGCCCGGCAGCTGAAACCGGTCTGATGGGACTCCCAGGTAAACTATTCTTCCTGCTCCCTTGGTTTACATCAAAACTAGTCTTCCTTGGAGATCTAGTTCTTAGTTCAGATACCTTCTCCGTCTCAACAGGTTTCTTAAAAGGAGTAAAGATTTAACATTGTTCCTTTCCCCCCCCCCCCTCCGGCAGAGAGGATGGCCGCATATTATACAAATTGCCACCCCCACATCGCGGAGTGATAAATTTGGTTTTCTTATATTCCCTTAAAAGCAATAGACCAAAATTCAAAATTGTTAACAGTGCTTAGAATCCATTTCCTTTCCCAGATTCCCTCCTGAAAAAAAACTATGATCCAGCTCATGAATATTTTTTCAAGTTTTGCCAATTTTAAAATGTTCTTATTCTGTTTCGGCAACTTTATATTTACCATTCAATGATATTGGAAGATATTCATGACATCTCATTGGTCGACACTGAGCTGTGTTTTGACAGAGTTTTTTCTTTCGATGTTATGGTTGAAAACTTAAAACTTGGATTCGGATTGAGCTAAAATGTTGCAGATACAATGGATTCCGATCTTGAGCCATGATTGTAATATATGCAAGCAAAAAAATACAAGCTTACCACATCTTGATTCTCCACTCTGTTCCCAGCCAGAAGAGAATCCAAGGTGGAAAATATACTTTCCTAAAAACACACAATTTTAATATCTTAAACATTTTATTCTGTATAACAATGGATCTGATAACTCGCCACTAACTCAAATTTTCTTATAATTTTATCATTGCAGACAAATGACGGATAACTCAGATATTTCATACGATTAATTCTGCTAGATTATGTATAGTAAAGATTGAAATATCAAAGGTTTACACCAACAGGATTTGAATCTTATGTATATAAAATATAGAATTCTCTTGTCTAAAGTCTTTTTCTTTTGTGTTTTTTTTTAGAATAAATATTATAAACATAAAAAAAATTATTGTGGCAACTGACATGATAAAATAAAATAAAAAGTTGTTTCCGAATTTTTCCATTTTTTTTATAATTCAACATTATAAACAGAAAAATTTGTTGTAGAAAAAGAAGAAGAAAAATGGGCACGAAGCGCACTAAAAGCCTAAAACTGCAGAACATATTGAGTATTTTAGTATTTTACCTCTATGCTGTCCTCCTGATCGTAAAACGTCAACTGTGGCTGGTCCTAACAAAAATATCATTATTTATTTCTAAACATAATGCATCATAATCAATTTTTGAATTAATTTATCAGTATCTTGATCCAATAAAATATCAACTAATTCATCGATTAATAGATTAATATATTTATCAATCATTACCAACAAATCAATTAGTTTCTCCACTAATGTAAAATTATGTAATGTCCGTAAAAACTAAAAAAACAACGACGTTCTATACCAAAACGATTAATCTGAGGGATATGTCACCTAAATTAAATAACCGTGGGGGGGAGTACTGTTTTTTTAACTGTTACTAATTGGCCGGCTATAAGTAACATCCAATGCATACAACACAGGATTTTTTACCTTATAATCATCGTCAATGAGAAAGTCCTTCTCGTTATCTGAATAGGTGCTTGGAGACGAGGTCGTCTTACTCGTAGTTGTTTTCTCCTGAACCTCGCCTGCACTGCCCTCGGTATAGGAGGAGCACATGCTGATGGAATTAGTGATGGAAGCAGTCATATCCTTCATTAGAATAAATTTATAGCTCCGAGTAAATGAGTATAGTTAGTTCAGATTAAAATGCATATATTGATTAAAAATGAGCATACTTTGTTGGGTTAATGAAATTTGTTAAATAGTGAACAATTAGATTTAAGTTAACAGAAAAATAACATTTCAAATATAATTTACAAAAAACATCTTCCTCAACCTATCCGTATGAGTAAATTTTTTTTGTCAATTATGAACATTTGGAAAAATTAGATTATGGGATAGTATTAATAATTTTATTCTGAGAAAAGGGGGAGAGGGGGGGGATTTTCGTGAAACAAATATCAAATGAAAAGAAACGAAGTGCAATTAAGGAAAATAGTTGCTCAATTCTTAGTTTTTACCTGAAATGATTGTTTTGTGGAAGATTTTGAAACACCCGTTAAACTTGAATCTGTCTCATCTGGACTCAAAAGACTAAAACAAAAAAGTTTTTAAAGAGTTATATTGATGAAAAACCCGTTTTTAAAACGTTTTTTACCTTGTTACTGGTTTGGTTGGCACTTGTTCAGATTGCATTATTGTTCGCAATTTTTCCATAGAGGACTGCTCTTTGTACTTTTCAGTGATTTTGGCGGATTTCCCGATTAATTTGTTGATGTTATCCTGCGATTTTCGTTCAAATATTTGGCGGTTTTCCTTGACTAACCCAGGGGATATTGCTTTTCGTTCATCTTTGTCTGTTTTCTTGAAAAGTTCATCTAGAAGCTCTAATGGAGAGGTTTCTCTACTACTACACATTTCATCAACATCACTACATAAGAACATTTTCTTAACCCTATTCCTGCTGGGCATAGACCCCCCCCCCCACCAGTAGTTTTTTTCCATAACTCAAAAAGGTTTGTCTGAGACTGTTCAAATTTTCTGATTTTTCCTAAAAACCCATAGCCCTCCCTTTACATTAAAAACCGGGCTTTTATACTAATTGCCTGAGTCCTCAGGCACACTACCTGAATGACCATTTTTTCCTGTAAAAAACAAAATCTTTGTTTTGATCCACTTTCAGTTGTCAGATTTTGATAATTTTAGTTGAATGGAAATTATTTGCATACAACCCGTCAAAAGAAATTTGCACATTTTAGTTTTTATTAATTACACGTCAGAATATTTAAAATTTAGAAACATTTTTGGCATTGCGTGGTCAAGAGCTTTTAAAAAATTTTATTTTATCCTTTTTTTTGACATTTTTTTTACAAACATTTTTACTTAAAACTAGATGTATTATTTGTCATATTTGGACATCAAATATCTAAGGGGGATTTTGATTTAGTTAGTCAACACCATTTGACCCAAATATGCAAACATTGTTTTTTTAGATTTTTCATTAATATTTACTATATAAATATTATAAATTGTGTTTTAAATAATTGCTTGAAAAACTTATTTTTATGGATTACAAAATGCCATGCAAAATAGAGTAAGTACCTGAATGTGTTTGTCGAGGTTGTCATGTCCCTGTTTGTCTGGTGGTCGGAGAGTGATAGAAACCCTGACCTGCTCTTCTCCCCTCTGGAGCTCGTGAAGGAGGTTGGTAGGCTTGTAGACAGCTTTACTGAGGCCTGGTAGTATTTAGGAGGTTTTGGAGGCTGAGATCCTCCTCGTTTAGATCCATTTCTGAGTTCTACCTCCGGCATTTGTATATTTTCTGTTCCCTCCTTCTGTTCCTCTTTGTCAGAAATCCTCTCCTCTTGTAAACTTTCAAGACTATACTTGCTATGACTAGACGTAAAGAACCCGCTGTCGGACTCGGTTTCGTTTGGTGACTTCTCCGTCCTTTCTGTCAGAACGGGCTCTTTTCTCTCAGGTATCATCTTAGTACGAACTACTCTAGGTTTCTCAATCTTCTGTGGAACTTTGAACACCTCCTCGTCTGTATCTATGATGACGAGTTCACAGTCCAGATCCAGATCATATTCTGAAATCTTTTCCCTGTCCATCTTTTCCTCTGTTATCTCTTCTAGTTCCTTGTGAGCCTGATTAGCTGAAGGATTGGTAGGATCTTCACAAAAACTGTTCTCCTGGGAAATATTTAAATCTAGATTGAGACAAATTTTTGAGTAAAACATTTTAGATAGTCACTATATTGAACACATCTCTACCAAAGACGAAGAAATCTTCGGTTTTCTATTAGAAAATAGACAACTTGCATTTTTGGCTGAAAGGTAAATGACACGTTGGTCACTTAAATCCCTTGTTACACCATTCAAATTCTTTAAATAAATTAAAACCTTTCAACATCTTTTTCTTTATAACTAGTTATCTCAAATAGAATTTTAAGAAAATTATACATTAAAACATCTAGACTAGAAAACCCCACTAAGCTAAATTTAAGCATTTTTTAAAATTCTTCCTTTCTGTTTTGATTTGAAAGAACCTACTACCTGTGGAATATCAGGGAGAACAGAACTACGTTTGGAAACCTTAGGATTTGTTCTTATTCCAGTCCTACAATTTACGCAATTTAGCAATCTAGCCACAAATCAAAAATTGATCCATCACTCCATCAATTAATTCATCAATTATTCCATAAATAAATAAATAAATAAATAAATAAATAAATAAATAAATAAATCAACTATCCAATCAATCTACAAATCATTCAAACAATAAATCCATCCATCAATCAATCAATTCGTCTATAAATCTATTTTATATCCATGAGTCAGATATTAATAAATCCATAAACCAATTAATGAGACACAAAATCTAGCAATCATTAATATTCAATTCAAAGGGCAATTAAAGAAAAGGTTAATTTAAAAAGTCAAATCTATAGAAAGTTCTTTAAAAAATATTTTATCATTAGTATTTACCTGTGATGGTCTAGAACAGATTTAGTTGATAGTTTAAGTTTGTTTAAACAATCTAGAGCACTTGGTCTGTTCTCACCCAGCCTAGAGATACTTGCATCTCTCTCCTGAACCCAATAAACCTTCAAGATGATTATTTTTAGACCCCCCCCCCTCTCATATTTCGATGTCATTGTGAAAGCTATGCCAAAATGTCCACAAACTCAAAGGTTGCTAAATATAAATTCCATCTATATAATAAAACAAGACATTCGTGTGTATATATAGCCGGCAAAACGGCTGGACCGATTGGGCTGAATTTTTTTGTGGACACTCATGGGTAACCGGGGGTTGATTTAGACTAAAAAAGTCGAAATTTTTTCCACGGGCAACGCCGGACCCTTCAGCTAGTTGAAAATAAGAGAAGAATATATGGAAAACTATTAAAATGTTCTGCTCTTAATTTATATATACGCAAACACTTGATTTAACATTAAATGATTGTGAAGGTTTAAATGATGTCTCAAAGTCGATGATAGTATTCTAAGATCAAACCTTTTTCTTCAACGTTTTGGTTGATATTTTCCCAGTTGGATACAGATCCGTGGATCCGCATTTTTTCAGTGATAAGAAAATTTTGCGGATCCAATGGATCCGAATCATGGACACAAATTTAAATGATCTTTTAGGTTTTAGTTTTAGGGTCAAGTTGCAGGGTCCTGTCCAGTTAAAGGGTCCTGTCCAATAGCTCCCCCCCCCCCTCCCCGTTTCTTTTAATTAAAAAGTAAAAAATGACTGAAGTTATATTCCTCGGAAAGATTTGAAGGTGTTGGTATCTGTTGAGCTGGGGCCAGACTTTTTGTCCATTTTCTGAGATTACCAGAACCCTGATCGGATCCTGTTCTGGTCCTTATATCCGAGACAACTGCCGAAATAGTGAAATCAGAGTCCGTGGTTCCTCCTTCAACACTGGAAGTTCCAAAACGTGGCGCAGCTTGTTGCCGAGTCCAACTTCGCATCCCTGCAGTGCCCTGGCCCAGCTGGGAAAGTCCAGAAATCATGGCAAGGGTGTCTAAAATAATAAGGATGACATAATGAAAGATGAGGACTGTAAAAATATTAACCAATGTTTCATGAGTTTTAAAAATGCTCGTCCAATTATTCAAAGCTTGGCACATTTTTAAAATGATTTAATGCCCTGATAATGAAACTTATGTTTCAAGTAATACTAATCTGCAAAGCCCAAAATCGATATCCACACTGGAAACTTTAAATTTTAGGCGCTATCTTGTAAGCATGTGTGGAATCTTCTATTGGCCAAGAGACATAATAATGTCTTTTAATTGGTTGGAATTTCTAGCAGCCAAAGTTCTCTTAAATTAAACACAAGTTTTGACCTCTTAACACTTAAAAAAATTTCAAGATAAAAAAAATCAAAAACCTTTTCCAATTTCATATGTTGCATTGTTCTGATTTTCCTGATGGTTTATGGTTTTATCTTGAACTGATGTTGATTCATAGATTGCAGACCCCTGGGAGCTTTCTCTTGATTGGGTAAACTAAGAATAAATATGTTAGTCATAATGAAAGAATACCATTGATAGATCGATTGATTGATTGATTGGTTGATTAGTTGGTTGATTGATTGATAGAAGTAGCTAAGAATATACGGACCAGTATACTCAATGACAGTTGTAAAGAGGAGAAAATTTTTTTATTAATGTTCCTTTGAATAGTAACGTATTAGGACAGGTCAGGAAAATTAGTAAAATACTTATTATTTACTATAGAAGCAAGCAACTATTTTTCGAATTTAAAATTAATTCAGTATTGGGTAAATACCTGTTGTCGCATTCTGAAGTTCCTAGTTTCTGGCTCAGGGTTGAGAGGTTTCTGTTTATCAGTACTTATCATTCCACCTGCATTCATCCCGCCAACTCTACTCATCCCATCTCCTGTACTCATTCCTTCTGTTGTACTTATCCCATCAGCCCTGCTTCCCTCTCCTGCTCTTTTCTCCATCTCCTCCCTGCTCTGAGCACTACTCCTGCTCCAGGATCCTGTTCTTGAAGTGTCTCTACTGAAGAAGCTTGCTCTTAAACCGGAGATATCAGGCTTATCTGACACTATATAAAAACTATTTGAAAACAAGGTAATTTGTAAACAAAAATATTATCATTTTTAAAGTTTTGAAGACAGAAATTTTAAAGATAAAACCAGATTCTCAAGTTACCTAAATTTGGGCAGTTTTAGATAAAAACCTAATTTTCTTAAAAAAAAACTTTAAATTACTCTATAAAGAAATACTACTGGTCAAACTTAATGAACAATCACTTGAAACTACTATTGTTAACGTTTACCTGCTGACCGATTGAAGTTTAAAGAACTTGAACCAAGTCGGCTTGCAAAAGCTCTCTTTGTCCCTAACGGAACTTCTGTTGGTTTGCTACTGAAGTCTTCTCTGTTGGGTAAACCTTTGTTTCCTGTGCTGATAGTTTCCGATCTCATGCTAGCGTCAGATTTTATTCCAACCTCTATTTTATGGCTGTCGGACACAGTGCTCGTAAATCTTGATGAGGTTGAACCAAAGCTAAGAGGGGTTGTCCTGCTGGCCGGACCTTTACTGTAGGTTCCTCCGAATCTGTTAGAAACCGGTTCCTGATTTCTCACATCCATTCCCGGATTTTTAGGCTCTCTCCCGCCATCTTGTGAACTGTTTTCAATGACTGAGTTAATTGAAGAAGAAGAACTTGATTCTAAACAAATAAATTTTCATGGAGTTTTCTAGCAGGGATAAAACTTAATGGATTAAAAATATGATAATAATAATATTTTAGCGAGCAATTCAAATATACAACTAAATGCTTTAACTAAATTAACAGTTTTCTATAATCATCAGATTAAGAAGTTATAAATTGAAGTTTAAAGGATTGAATCTAAATTGAGAAATGGTATTAATTTGATTTAAACCGACCCAGTCCCAACTGTTCAAACATAACATATTCTAACCAAACTTGACGTTTTGAGAAAGCCTCGGATTGGAAATAAATAAACTTGTGAGAATACCTAATGGCTAATCCCCATCCAACAGATGTATTAAAAACTGTTTTTACCCAGATCTTAATTTTATAGGCGTGTATGCGCAAAATTGGAAAAACAAAAGAATTTTTGGTTTAAAGTATCAAAAGGAGTGGGAAATCCGTTTTTTTTCATTTAATTTAATTTTTTTAGGGGGGGGATAATTTTTGAAAATATGTACCCCTGACCTATGATTTGGGCAAAGCTAGACACACAGTTAACTATCTTCACTATAAGATGACTATTTAGTACTGACGACGTTTTCTACTGTATTTTTAATTCCTTATCAATTTACCATTGAATAAGTTAAACATATGTATTTTGTAGTAACAGGGAGGATATGAGAGATAGGCAACTCAATACNGGGGGGGGGGGTGTTTGATATAAATCATATACATTAACCGATTACAATACATTTTCAGAACTATTGTTTAATATATTCGGAATAATCCATAATTTGAGAAAAATTATAATTATTAATGTAATTTTAATTGACTAAAGTCGGCCATCTTCTTATTATTTATACCATAGAATCCACAAGTCAATACAATACTAAAAATTTAGAAATACAAGAATAAAACTAGTGTGAGTAGACTTGACATAAAAATAGTTATAGTATTTACGCCCTGTATATTTAACCACGAAATGTTTAGATTAGAATTTTCAAATTTACAGAAACTAAAGAAATCTATTCTAAATCTTTAAAAAGATAAAAAAAAATATAGGTAGAAGAAAATTTAATGATTAAAATTTGTAAAAAATAAAATACTAGAACTTTAAGAATAAAATAAATCAAAAAAAAATCGAAATGGTGAAACAAAAATCAGCCGTTAAATTGATTAAATCACCTTGTGGGGAAAATAAGTGGCGGGGTATTACACCTAAACATCTAGCTAAACTCAATCTATTGCTCAATACATAAATTGATTTCTTGATTAAATGCTTGATTTAATGTAGAATTATCAATGTATTAATTGCTTAGTTGATAATTAACAGTTGATTGATTGATGTCTGAATTGACTAATTGATTTATCAGTCAAGTAATTGAATTTTTAATTTGGTAATTGGTTTTCAATTGAGTAATTGATTAATCAGTTGGAAAATTAATTTGTCAACTAATTGACTTTTCATTTGAGTAATTAATTTATCAATTAAGATATTGATTTATCAATTGAGTGATTGATTTATTAATTAAGTATTCGATTTTATAATTAAGCATTTATTTTTCAATTAAGTTTTTAATTGAGTAATTGATTTAACAATTTAGTAATTGATAAAACACTTGAGCAACTGATTTCTTCAATTGAGTAAATAATTTTTTATTTGCATAATTAATTTATCAATTGCGAAATCATTATTTATCTTTAAGAAAAATATACAATATACATTGAGCAATAATTGATTGATTTATCACAATTGATTAAATTACCTTTCTTTAGATTGAATTTATATTTAAATCCTGCGTAAGCTGTAAACAAGAAAGATTATTAAAACATTCAAAAAAATATATTTGTAGTTTTTTTTTAATGTTTATGTTTAGAAGGAGAATATTATTGTAAATAATAATGATGAATTTTTAAATTACCGAAAATCATCTAGAATTGATTATCAAGTACGGCAAAACTTATAACTTTTATTTTGATTGCATGGGTTTATATTTAACCCCATTGCTCACATTTTGTCAGAAAATAGTCAGTTGACATTTCGTCATTTTTTGAAGAAAAAAAAAGTTCAAAGTGGAAATCTTTGATGAGGAATTTTATGCTTTTGAGCAAACATTTGCTTTGAATATCAATAATATTAAAGTTTTGAAATAAAATAACTGAAGCTTTCACAAATTTCTCGGTATTTTAAAGAACGTTTAAATTCTCCTCTACAATTTGCTTCTCCTCTTTTTTAATACATCTTGTTGGGGTTCTGATTGTAAATAAAATGGTACTATTTATATTATATGTCAAATATTGCATACTGAAAGAATCACTTAAAGGGACTGTAAGCTTAATATTAAGTGACTCTCCATGCAAAATATGACAAGACCCGATTTACCATGGTACTCTTGAAACCTAATCTCATTAATATTGTGAATCGGAAGATATTGTCGTTTTCTAGGTTTATAAGGATTTAATTCTAATAATTCTTAATATTTTTTCCTGCAGTAGAAATGCGTAAGTCACTTTAAATTAATGGACAATCCCTTAGGCCTTGTTAAGTCCAGGTTGACTGACCTGTTAAGCTAAGAGTAGGTTTTGATATATAATGATCAGTTAGCGGTTTATAGGGTCTAGGTACTAATCCTCCCCTCTTATACTCGCGGACAGGAGAACCTAAATAGAAAAATAAAATAGAAAATTATCAAGTAAATAATGAGAATAAAAAGTGAAAAAATATTTTAAATTACAAATAAATTACTAAAACTAATAAGACTTAAAAACAAAGAATGGAATAAATGAATAAATAAATAAATATATAAATAAGTAAATGAATAAATAAAATCCATTATTTTATTTTTCATTTACCTGACTTTTTTTCTTGTCGGGAGAATTTGGGAGAAAATCTTTTTCCAAATTTTGGAGAAAATTTTTGAATTGGTTTTGGAGATTGCTGCAAGGATTGGATAGTTAAAATTTTGTTATCCTTCTCTTTCCCCTCTTCCTTCTCTTTTCTACCATCCTTCTCTATTCCTCCATTTTCAGCGTCATTCTTCTGTTTACTTGTACCCCCGGTATTATTGTTCAACGTAGATCTAAAATAAAGCTTATTGTTACTACACAATTAGAAAAAAAAACTATTTGTAAAAAAAAACAATATACAGACAAACAATATACAAACGAACAATATACAAACAAACAATATACAAACAAACAATATACAAACAAACAATATACAAACAAACAATATACAAACAAACAATATACTATAAAATCAAACAATATACAAACAAACAATATACAAACAAACAATATACAAACAAACAATATACAAACAAACAATATGTAATTAGACATTTTGTGAGCAAAAATATACAAACAAACAATATGTAAATAAAAATTTTGTAAACAAACAATGTACGAACAAAAAATACGTTCAAAATAAAAACGAAGAAAATTTAAACAATAATTAAACAAACGTACAATATTTTAAAAGACAATTTGTAAACGAAGAATTGGGAATAAAATGTATACTAACAATTTGTAGAAAATATGTGAACAAAAAATGTGTTAACATTTTTTAGCAAACACGTTAATACATTCGAGTATAATAAAAACGATCCTGATTTCCCCCTCCTGGGTTCTATTACGCCTTATTCTCATCATAAAAAAATCGGAAATCAGATCTCCAGAAATTGCGTGTACAAAGATGAAAGGATCAATGTCAACTAAGCCAAGTTTTGAAGCCCTAATGTATTCCGCTTTTTGTGTGAATTATATAAATATATAGCATATCTATGCTCTCTATGAAGACACGAGGGGGGGGGGGCAGCATAAAATAGATGTCAAAGTTTTTTTTTATAAAAACTATTCTTGTATAATATGTTTAACAAGTTGGGAATGATTTTCTGAAAAAGATGAGAAAACAGGATAATTTTTTTTCAAGTAACTTGAAAATTTCCAAGGGGAGGGGGGGGGGAGAAACTGTCTCCATACTGTCTCAGCCTTAGTGTCAAACAAAAAAACATGCTGGAGAAAATACATAATTTTTTAAAGACAAATATAAAACCTCTGGATAAAAAGATGACATTTTGGACATCTGCATTGAGTACAAATGTGTTTTACTTGTGATAACTGTATTGTATTTGCCAGATGCATATCATTACAAAAAGCAAACATCACTCCAGACATGTTACGATGTTTAGAAGATATTAACTACATGAACAAGGTAAAAGCAAACATCACTCCAGACATGTTACGATGTTTAGAAGATATTAACTACATGAACAAGGTAAAAGCAAACATCACTCCAGACATGTTACGATGTTTAGAAGATATTAACTACATGAACAAGGTAAAAGCAAACATCACTCCAGACATGTTACGATGTTTAGAAGATATTAACTACATGAACAAGGTAAAAGTGTCCGAACATTATTTCTAAACATTCAGCAAGTTTAAAGGTGAACATTGTATCAAATATCATCTTGTAAATTAATTTTTAAATTTTAAACTTATTTAATGTAAATAATGATCTAAAGATTTATTAAATGTTTATATTATAGCAATAAATCTTTCATGGATGCGGTATCAGTGACTCAGAGTGGATATTCCCCCCTCCCCCTAATTTTTTTGTAGTTCATGGGTCTAAGAAAATGATTTGGTTAATCGATTTGTTGATTGATTTATTAATTGATTATTTGATTTACCTGGAGCGAGAGAACCCGAACCTGGAAGAGTAAGAGGATGAAGGAGGAGGTTGCTGACTACTTGGAACTGACGAGGACAGAACAGAAACCGGTTTTGACCCTGCAGAAACCTGTTTTGACGCTGCAGGAACCGGTTTAGACAGAGCCAACGGCTTTGGAGGATTGCGTGAGCTGTTCGTTTTTGATGGACCTGGACAACATATTTCTTTTTTCTCAATTCAAATAGAAGATCGTTAAACAAATTAAATTATCATAGAAGAGGCAAAGACAAGAAATTGTAATTAAAAAGCTTAGGAAAAATAAAAGAATGTTAGCATAAAGACTTGATATGATTTGAAAGTTTAATCAAGTAATCATAAATGCAAAAAAGAAATAAATAGAAATGCTAATTAAAGGAACTGTTAACGTAATTTCAAGTGACCCACCACTAGAAGAGATCCAGTTTGTCAAATTTCGCTGCTCGGCGTCTGCTGCATAAATACACTTTCACAGAAAACCCGTAAACGATTAATTTTAATATATAAAAACGTAAGAATTCTTTGCTCAGATAAAGGTTATAAGGATAATAGTTTACCATTATGAAAAAGACACAAAACTGAACTGGAGTCAGTTGAAATTACGGCTACAATCCCTTTAAAGGATTAAATTAAACCTGAGGTTGAAACTGGCTCTGAAGGTTTACTTCTATAGAACCCGAACCTAGAGGTTCCATCCTGAACAAAATAAAAATTTAAAAACAAATTTTTTCAGAAAAAAATTAAAATCCGTCCATCAACCAAAAAAGCCCAGAACATCATCAACATTCTCCACAATATCATATTTATTCTTTAAGGTAAAGTTACGATAAGGGTCGAGACAGGTATGTAGTAAATGCCTCACTCCCATAAGTTTCTTAAGTCAGTCTCAGTATCGTACAGATACAACTCGCTCTAAAACTCCACGTTCTACATTAATTCCCAGGTCTGTATCAATCCAGATACAACGCTGTTGTTTTCTTTAATATGTACCTGTCACTCGTGCTGACTATCAGCTATAATACTCAATCTGTATCAATCCAGATACGAGGCTGTAATCTTTAGGTATCTCTCTTTCAAGATAAGCCTCATTGTAATACCTTAGTCTGTAATCAATCCAGATACAACTCTCCGTATTTCCTAGCCTTCAAGATATACCTTAGGTCCCTCTTGTTTCACTACTCGAGGAATATAATTACTCTAATACCATAATCAAGTAGAGTATTATTCCAACTATCATATATTTTGAATTCTATGGTACAGTGTCCGAATTTAATGAATTTAAGCCGCGTCTCAAATCACCCAAAAGCCGGTTTCAATTGAGAGTCGGCTTAAATCTTGAAAAACTTACTACAATTTTAAATGGAACCAACCATATTTGAGCCGCGGTTTAAATTTAAGCTGCGGCGTAAATTCTTTAAATTCGGCCTCTGGCTACATTAATGAACGTAATTACAAGTTTTACGTAGCTAATTATTTACAAGCGTAGTTGGGTTCAGGACCGATTGGTTTTACGTAGTTAATTACAAGAGTAGTTAGGTTGCAGAGAATGTGCATTGTACAACATTATATATCTAGATGTGGCAGGTTTATAAATATAGGGTTTACTACGATATTTATAACAGGTATATAATATCATATAATTTCCATGGACCGAGCGCTGCAACTTGCGGGGGGGGGGGCAGGCCTTAAGGCGCAACAAAATAAAATATGTCAAGAACAAAAGGAAAGTGGGTGGGGGGGGGGGGTGTCAAAAATAAATTATTTAAGAAATAACAAAATATTTTAAAAACACATGTACCTTAGCACTAGATTTCATTTCACACTTGGTAGAAACACTATTCAGTTTTCAATCAGTTCTGTACATTTTGTGATATATTATGAGATTCTTTCTATCATATCAATAACTAATTTCTTAAATTCACGTGAATTCATGCATATTTCTTAATTCTGAAACAGAACATATAAAATCAGTGGATTTGCTGCACTGTCAATAAATAACGTATTATCTATGTGTATATAAAATTGTAATCTCTGTTGTCTGTCTGTTTGTTTGTTTGTCCGATCACAACTCAGGAACCTTTGGACCAATTTGCATCAAATTTTGATTAAGGAACTCGGAAGACCCACGAAAATGTTCTTACCTTGGTTTTGAGATTCTATATTAAGATTGGGTAGACTTTAATATCGAAATACTAGATGTTAAATCGTTCAAGTGCGGGTAAACGGCGGGAATGACTAAGTAACCTTGGCAGCGCAGGATTCCCAAGCTAGTATATAAAAATGTAATCTCTGTTGTCGAGTTTGTCTGTTTGTTTGAATTAGTTTGTTTGTCCGATCATAACTCAAGAACCCCTGGACCGATTTGTCTCAAATTTTTATTGGAGAACTCGGAGACCCAAGGGATTTTTAGAAATCTGGGCGGCGCTGGGTTCTTAATTGCTAGTTCCCAGCTGTTATTTAACTTGTTTTAAATTTTTCGGAAATATAAAGATAATTTTGATTCAGTATTGCATGGTTCTTTTCTTTGTTAGCACGATGCATAATTTGTAGAATGCGATAAAATCCATGAATCACTTTTTATCTCAATTTAGTCACCCATTCTTTGCATCCCCCATTGGGCCATTCTCGTTCTTTAGTCTGCACTGCACTTAACTTATTTCCGTGTGTATAAGTGCAAAAGGGGGGGTTTTTGAGCAAAAAAAATTAAAAGTTAATTTTAATGCATTTAAATTAACACCACAATAAAGTGTTTATCTTTGTAAAATAAAAGTTTTCTAAGAACCCCCCCCTCCCCCCCAAAATTAATAATCAAAATGTACTGTGAAATTATTGATTTCTTCTAGTAAGAGTCATCTAGCGGACAAAGTTTGCAATACTTATAATAACATTGAAAATTATTCAACGGGGACATTACAGAATTAAGAGCTATGGCCAGAGCCCAAAACTTAAGACAGGGTATCGTTATGAAAACCAGTTTTGGAACCCGGGTTTCACAAATGGGTTTACCCAGTTTTGTAGATATCGATATTTTTGTTTTGAAATATTATTTTATTTAATCCTTTATATCTTACCATTTTTATCAAATCTCTTAAATCAAAATCTACACAAATAATAAGACCCCAAAAAGGAAACTCGGAAGTTTCGTTCAACGATACTCTTTTAAATTTCAGGCTCAGGGGTGGTGTACAAGGGCGTATACAGAAATAAATCTAGGGGGGGGCAAGATTTGCGCGAAGCGCAAATTTTTTTTTTGCCCCCCTATTAGCTCCTAGGGGGGGGGCAAAATTCGAACTGTAAATTCATAACACTTGGCTTCTTGGATATCAGGCATAAGTATAAGATACTTAAAAGGCACACATACAGTCTAAATAATAACCTTCTAAGCACTACTTTATCTCTCCTTCAAACAAAACTAGCAGAAAAAAACATTGTTTCTAAAAAATCGACATTTTATTATACTTTTATGGGTATATTTAGTATTTAAACTAGAGATAGTAAAAGACATTTTTGAAAATAAAAACTTAACTTAAACTTAAATTCTATGAGATGAAAAGAAGTACAAAGGTCCAGAAAATAATTATGACTTGTAAAAGTTTCTGTTGTGAAAAAAAAGTAATTTAGTAATTAGTAATTAATTAGTAATTAAAAAAGTAAATTAGGTTAGGTTGGTTAGGTTAACTTGGTTACAGCATGAGCACTGCACTGTAATTATATATATTTTAAAATTTTGATTTTTTATAATAATTTGTTTCGTTTTTCAATCGTTTTCAAAAACGATCGTTTCGTTTTCGGGAAAAAACGATCATTTTTTAAAACGACCCAATCGTTTTGAACTTTTAGAAAACGAATAACGATCGTTTTTGAAAACGATATTTTTTATAAAACGATTACTTTTGAAAAAACAATCGTTTTTGAAAAATAAATTTTTATTGCCTTAACGATCGAAGTGTCGTCGCTAACAATCGTTAGCGAAATGAAGAGTTTCATAAAAACGACCATTTAAAAAAAAAGAATTTTTAAAAAAGACGATGGTTTTTAAAAACGATCGTTTCGTTTTTAATTTTTCGTCGTTTTCATAACGATACGATCGTTTTTCAAAAAAGTGAAAACGTTAACATCCCTAGATATGATCCCCTTCGACCGTATATAATATAGGGCAGATATTACAAGATCGCAAAGTCGTTTACCAAAGCAGTCACTGTCAGCATAAAAGCATGCATATATGCTAAGCATATAGGATGATGCTCAAGATTGTCAAAGTTTTGTTAGGAAAGAAACACATCTTATGAAGTCAATTTCTGAGAGCATTAAATGAATTTTGTTTTGTAATTATTGGATTATTAATTTATTTTTATGATTACAATGTGTCCATTTCTACATCATTTCTATAAAAAATGTCTCTCCAGAAAAAATTCTTAATGATAAGATTTATAGGATAGCATCAAATTGGGGCCTCCTAGAAAAAGTTGAAATGATAACTTTAAAGCAATCCATATAAGTATTAAATATTTCTATTTCTAAGCCTATTTTTTTACTTTCTGCAATATAGATTTGAACAGAATAATAAAAATTATTAACTGCTCAAAGTGAACAGATACCAAATGTTACTTAAATGACCCGTTTTGAAATTAAAAACTTTACGCATTTGACATGAGAGCACTTTTTTAAAAATCATTTTAAAAGATTATTGGAACCTGAATTAAAAGATGAAATTTCTATGCAAAAGATCATATTTAAAACAATTAAAATAAAATCTTTATATTTATACTTATTTCTTTATTTTCTTCCTTGTTTGTTCTAAGATTAGTGAATAATTAGTTAAATTCCTAATTAATCTAAAAACAATTAAGTAGTCTAATTTAACCATGTTATTAATAACCCCAGAAAATGAAATTAGAAAGGTAGATGAGAAGAGAATTGGCCAGTTTTAACCCTATAAAGCTGGGGGGTGGGGGTGTTTGGGGCAAATTTTACAAATGAAATTTTTTTATTCACCATCATAATAAACCTTTATACTTAAAATTATAAAATCTTCAAAAATGAGAAACCATCCCAGTCTTTAAAGGGTTATACCAAACAAAGATAGCAAATAAATTAAACTTAACTTATTTAATTAGAATTAATCTTTTTTAACGAAATAAATTTAAAGTTTAATGAAAGTATGTATTCTAAAACTTGATTTCATAAGAAAAGATTTTTAAAGTTCCTGAAATGGGTCAATGATGTTGAACTGTATTTATTAAAACAAATGACGAACACCCGGAACTATAAATTGATTTATCAAAAAATGAGAAAATTCACAGAATCAGAATTTACAGGGGGGGGGGGTACAAAATAACTATTGGATCGATATTATACTTGACGAAGTGAATTGCAAGACGTTTAAATCACAGGGATTTATGCAGTGCTATAGACTGTTCATTGTAGAGTGTAGATACAAAGAGAGAACTAAAATGAATAGGATTACTATACATAGAACTAAATGTAGTGTATTACTAAAGAACTAAAATGAATAGGANGAAATGTATTATTAAACAACTAAAATGTAATGTATTACTAAAGAACTGAAATGTAATGTATTACTAAAGAACTAAATGAATAGGATTACTACAGAACTAAAAGGGGGGGGGTGTGCTTTTTTTCGGAATACTTACTCACTTTTTCAAAATCCAATTAATCTGTATATATTTTAATAGCGGAGTTAAATATATGATTTTCGGAGCGGGTATCCGGTATATATCTCTACACTATGTACAGAATTATCCACAAAGAATGAGATTTTGGATAAGTCTATGTGGAATTTATGCATTTTTACCTCTAGCAATAATTTTCATGTTTCCCTGCAGCTTTAAACTTGTTCATCTATTTAAACCGTATCATCATAAGTTTAGTTCTTATTTTGACCACTAGGTGTCTCACTATAAAGTTTATATTACCAAGATAACCCGGTAGTTCGGCATATTTGAACCAAATTATGAAAAGTTTAGGTTTTATTACTGTGAGCAGTCTTGTTTAAATAAATCATGTAAAATATTAAAATATTTTTGTATGTGCGTTAAAAATGATTAATATCAAGGATGGCATAAATACAAATTAGTAGAATTTCAACGCACGGATTATGAAAACGCATAGCACGCAAAGAAAACATACGTTTTTTTTTAGAGGAGCAGATGCTTATCTGGACCTGTATATCATTTCAAGATAAATAATAATGCTAACCCGGTTAGCATTATTATTTATCTTGAAATGATATACAGGTCATTAAAATAACATGCAGCAAGGAACCATCAATGTTCCGCGCTAGTATGTTTCTTAATGATATAGCTTCTTATCTTTACGTTGGCTAAATAGCTTCAAGACTACATAGTTTAATTAATATAAAGCCATACCAACGAAGAACCATCAATGTACTTCGTTGGTACAATCTGTGTGTTTTCACATAGTGTATATAGACTCTATATCAAGGTTTCATGAAAAGTGTAAAGTGTTTACGTAAACTGATTTCAACATAAATTGCTCAAATTATATGTAAACGATTCTGTTATAAAAAATTTCTATTCAATCTGCATACCCTTTTCTCGTCAATGCATTTAATGTTCTACCATTTCATTGGTACACTTCTCAACTTTTATGTTTTGCATAATCCAAGTAGCCTTGATTCCAAATTTTTATTTAAAAATGTATCCGTAAATTAACTCTTATATAACTCTCTCAAAAAAATGTAAACGATTTTGTTGTAAAACTTTATTATTTAACTCATGTAAACTATTTTGTACAATTTAAATAATCTCGATACGGAGATAATAAATATCTAGATCTTAAAAAAATTTTACGTGAAAACTAAATTTTCGCTATGAAAGTCGACCCACTCAACTAAGAATCTCAAAACCAAGCTAAGAACATTCCTTGGGTCAACTGAGTTACCCAATAAAAATTTGAGGCAAATTTGTTCAGGGGTTCCTGAGTTATGATCAGACAAAGAGAGATTACAACTTTATGTAGGGAACCTAGCGTTGCCCAAGTTACAAACAGACAGACAGACACCCAGACAAACAGAGATTACAACTTTATATTAAATAGATATTTATAAAGATACACATATATATATATATATATATACTGTACATATCGTTTTGTGTTTTAAACACACTCCTCGGCAGCATAAGTTATATTCAAATGTTCCATCTTTCTAAATATTCCACCATTGATAATATATTCTCTTTTCTATAGTTTTCATTTTTTTTACTTTCTATATTCCACCATTGATAAAAAATTCTCTTTTCTATAGTTTTCATATTCTTTACTTTCTTTATACCATGCATGCTTATTTTATATTCTCTTTTCTTTAGTTTTCATTTTCTTTACTTTCTATATACCACCATTCTTATTTTATATTCTCTCTTCTTTAGTTTTCTATATTCCACCATTCTTATTTTATATTATCTTTTCTTTAGTTTTCATTTTCTTTACTTTCTATATTCCACCATTCTTATTTTATATTCTCTCTTCTTTAGTTTTCTATATTCCACCATTCTTATTTTATATTCTCTTTTCTTTAGTTTTCATTTTCTCTCCATTCTATATTCCACCATTCTTATTCTATATTCTCTTTTCTTTAGTTTTCATATTCTCTCCTTTCTATGTTCCAAAACTTCTTTTATAATCTCATTTCATGAATGATAATTATTTGAACACTTTAACCGCCAATATTATAGATAGCGTGCTCCGACAGGGGCGGGTAAAGGGTGGACAGTTCCGAAGCAAGAATAGTGTACCAATAACACGAATAGTGTACCAATAACACGAATAGTGTACAAATAACACGAATAGTGTACCAATAACAAGAATAGTGTACCAATAACACGAAGAGTGTACCAATAACACGAATAGTGTACAACTAACACGAAGAGTGTACCAATAACAAGAATAGTGTACAAATAACACGAATAGTGTACCAATAACACGAATAGTGTACCAATAATACGAATAGTGTACCAATAACACTAATAGTGTACAAATAACACGAATAGTGTACCAATAACACGAATAGTGTACCAATAACACGAATAGTGTACAAAAAACACGAATAGTGTACCATTAACACGAATAGTGTACCAATAACACGAATAGTGTACCAATAACACGAATAGTGTACCAATAACACGAATAGTGTACCAATAACAAGAATAGTGTACCAATAACAAGAATAGTGTACCAATAACAAGAATAGTGTACCAATAACAAGAACAGTGTACCAATAACACGAATAGTGTACCAATAACAAGAATAGTGTATAAATAACACGAATAGTATCCATATTAGGCATCGTTTTTAAACACGATGAAAACACGTTTTTGGTTCCTTTTTTATTTTGTAAACTAACGAATTGATTTTAAACTTTTGACTAACGAAAAACAGATTAAAAGGATTTGAGTTCGTGTACGTTCCAAACTCTGATTTTCCAATCCCTATATATTGTAATAATAATATCGTATAGCTATGCATTCTGAGAGATCAAATAATCTAGGTTTGAAATGTCAAAGGTTTAGTTTACACCGTCAGGTTGCACAGATGTAGGGGTTCTAAAATTTTACAAAATAAGTTCTAAAAGGAAAACTGAACACTACAGATCAAACTGTTTTTTTAATGTCTTATATCTTGAAACCTTGTCTTGAAAACCTTTGATATTTATATTATAATTATGATTTTTTTTTTACTTTTTAATGAATTCTAACACATTCCTAAATTGTCACAACCAAAAATGTTCTTTTAGGATGGATGTGCATGAGAACAAACAAAGAAAAGTGTGAGGGGGGGGAACTAAAATTTCTTTTCCTCCCCCTCTCCTTTCAAAATACGGGTCTCTTTTCTTTAAGTTTTTTTGCGTTTTGTTCTATCAAAGTATTGATTAGATTTAGAGCCGGGGAATCCATTCAGTTGTATGTTTGTAAACAGACTATAAACCATTAATATATTTTTAATAATATATAACTAGTGATGAAATTCACTTTATAGACTAATTCAACTTGAAATAAGTAAATTAAAATCATATGATCAATCAAAGGATCGGTATTATTATGAAAACTTTGCATTCAAATTGAAAGTTGTTGAAATCTCACAATTTCTTTTACAGATTTCCATAAAAACCTATTTAACCTGAAAATAATGAGAAATACTTATTAGTTAAAGAGTCTTGTTTTATAAAAGAAACCTAAATATTTAATAAACAAATAATTAAAAGTACTTGGTTATTTAGATGAAATTGATATAATGTTGCTAAAAGAAGAATAGAGAAAGAGAAACCTAACTTTGAAAGAAGAACTTAAGGAATCAGTAATCAGTAATCACAACACAACCCATGTCATGTTTTTTTCTTCCCAAAGAGAATAAAAATTATCAGAGAGCAAGATTATCAGTAAATACCCAAAATCACAAGAATTCACCATGAGTCAAGAAGGAGAACACACTGACAATTTTATAGGTAACAATATCACGTAAATTTTATAGGTAACATTATTACGTAAATTTTATAGGTAACAATATCACGTAAATTTTATAGGTAACAATATCACGTACATTTTATAGGTAACAATATAGCGTACATTTCATAGGTAAGAATATCACGTAAATTTTATAGGTAACAATATCACGTAATTTTTATAGGTAATAATATCACGTAAATTTGATAGGTAACAACATCACGTAAATTTTATAGGTAACAATATCACGTAAATTGTATAGGTAACAATATCACGTAAATTTTATAGGTAACAATATCACGTAAATTTTATAGGTAACAATATAGCGTACATTTCATAGGTAAGAATATCACGTAAATTTTATAGGTAACAATATCACGTAATTTTTATAGGTAACAATAACACGTAAACTTTATAGGTAACAATATCACATAAATTTTATAGGTAACAATATCACGTAAATTTTATAGGTAACAATATCACGTAAATTCTATAGGTAACAATATCACGTAAATTTTATAGGTAACAATATCACGTAAATTTTATAGGTAAGAATATAACGTACATTTATAGGTAACAATATCACGTAAACTTTATAGGTAACAATATCACATAAATTTTATAGGTAACAATTTCACGTAAATTTATAGTTAAGAATATCACGTAAAACTCTCCTGTGTGTATTGGAATATTTTTATCTCTCATCCAAAATCTGTCGAAAATAGCGCAAGCAACTTTATTTACTTAAAGGGACTGTAAAGGAAAAATTAAAGGGGTATAGGCTGAAACCTAAAAACTTCAGGTGTTGATCGAGACCTATAAGAGTTCTATCTGATGTTCCTGTCTCGAGAAATTGATTTAAAACTAAGTCAAAATTATAACAACACTTATTTACATAAGATTTGGTATGGTAATCTAAGTTTTAAACAGATCATATTCAGCAAATACGCAACCAATCTGAAAACGACGATATCCCAAAGGAGCCTGAAAAACTCAGGTTTAAGCTCCTTTTATGATTTACACGCAATATTTTTTTTATTTTTAATAGATATAATTGATAAGATAATATTTTCCAGTTGAAAATTGTTTATTTTAAACACTGGTTTCTTTGTAGAAGTATATTGCGGATTTATTCAGAAGAAAATTGCCAAAATTCAACAGTTTTCCAGCTAATAGAAACCCCCATTGGTAGTCAGTTAAAGGTTTAAAAGGTACCCTTGTGAATGGAAGATGCCAGTCTATAAATTGAAGGTTACTTGAAACTACACCTACAGTCTCTTTCAAATTTTAGGCTTCTCATTGCTAGCGGATCAACTGCAGCGAAAGACAGTAAAACGTGGTTTTGAGTTTACTCTAATGGTGGTAGGAGAATCTGGATTAGGAAAGGTGAAAAAAATCTTTTGTAATACTTATATAAACTTTTTTATAAAATAAACTACTTTTTTTCTAACTCTTTAATCTTTATTTTTCTAATCATAACATCTGTTAAACCTGAGTCGTTGAAAATTTCAAAACCAAGAATTCTTCAATGTTTAAATAGTCAAATGTTAAAATTGTAAAAGTTAACACAATCAGATTGCTAAGTATAGGTTGAATAAAAAAACTTAAAATAAAAAATACTTAAACACGTTCTTCGATTAAAATTTAAAAAATACTGTGCTTTGAATACGAATATTCAATTTTAAGACAGTAATTTTATTATACAATTAATTAATTGAAGATATTGTAAAATGTATTGTATAATCAAACAAAATTAATGTATTTTGATGAAAAAATACTCAATTAGAATAAAATTTACTGTATTTTGAACTAAAATACAGCCTTTTAAAATTACTGTAAAAAAATCCTGTATTTTGAATTCGAATATTGCTCTCAGAAAAAATACTGTATTTCTCAATTTCCGAATAATAAAAAAGACAAAATTGAGCGTACTAATATAATTTGCATAAAATTGACCTCTGATCATTAACTTTTAACTTAGTTTAGTAAATTTAGTAAAGTTCAAAGTTTAGTTATGTTCAAAGTTCAGTTAATTTCAAAGTTTAGATATGTTTAAAGTTCAGTTAATTTCAAGATTCTTGTTTTTTTAGTCAACCCTTGTAAATTCTCTCTTTCTTACAGACCTATACAGGTAAATATATTTTTTAATTTATTGAAGTTTCAAAAAAATTAAAACCTTTTCCTAAAGATTTTCCGTGAAATTGTAAGCAGTGTTAAGCAAAATAATTGTTGCAAGTTTTTTATTGTGATTTGATTAAATTTTATAAATAAAGTTAATGCAGTTGACAAGATTTATAAAATTACAGAAACCGAAAACTACCACCAGTGTCAGAGAGACTGGCGAAAACAACGGAAATAGAAAAGACGACTTTGGATATTGAAGAAAATGGCGTCAAACTGAGGTAAATTTAGAACGGCCATTTTGAATTTAGAATTTGTAGCATCTCATTAAATGTTTAGTTTACAAAAATTGGCATATTAAATTTATTCTGAATATCGAAAAGAAGATTGTTTTGTTAAGATTCGAAAGAATATGAGAAAAAGGTTAAGTTTACAAAAATTGACATATTTTTATTCTGAATATTGAAAAGAAGAATCTTTTGTTAGGATTAGATAGAATATGAGAAAAAGATTAAATGAAATGAAATAAAATACAAATTGTTGTTTAGATTAACAGTTGTCGATACTCCGGGATTTGGAGATGGGTTGGAGGGTTCAGACGCTTGGCAGGTAGTACTGCATTCTTCACAAAAATTTAATAAGTTTAATAAGATTCCCGACAAAAATTAGATTTTATTGAACCTTTAAAAATCATTAAATAATAATACAAACTAATTAAAACTTTAAGTTTTATTATTACAATGGATGAAGGATCATGATGCCTATTAATATAGAGACAACCATATAATGTATAACATTTAAGTGTATTATGCACTGAGAACCTGAAAACTCTGAAATATGAAGACGACCTTTAAACTCTAGCTATGGCATTAATTAGTCCAATGAACAGAAGTCACAGACCATTTGCAGTGTTAACAAACCCGTTCAAATTAACAAGTGATTTATTAAGTTATTAAAGTGACACTTAATTGTAACAACATCAAAGCACTTAAGTATTAATGCTATAATGTTGTTTTACTATTCAACTTTCTGGTTATCACTGAAGCTTTAACATCTTTTTAAAAAACTGATTTTTAACATTTCGTCTCTCAAGTTGTGAAAACCCTGTATTTGCAAGCATTGATTATTTGTGTATAGGCCTGTGTGAAGTATGTAGATGATCAGCTGGGTCAATATTTCCAGACTGAAAATAGTGTCAACAGGTGGCGTTTAGAAATTCATTTTCAAATACATTTTTTATTGGGTTAAAGGGACTAACAACGTAATTGAAGTGCTACTCCAAGGAACAATTTACAACTTTGGTATAAAAAATGTAATACCTTTTTTTAATCAAAAATAATCTAGCAAGAAAATTTTTCAATTTTAGAAAATCTATTATTTCGATTTGTAATATTTATTTATAATCTTGTTATTTTTAGACGAAATATTGTGGATACTCGGGTTCACTGCTGTCTCTATTTTTTATCACCGTACGGGCACGGACTACGCCCTCTAGATTTAGGTACAGGGTTTTGTTTTTGGTTTATTAGAAAATTACAGTACAAAGTATGTTTAGAGTTTATTAGAACATTACATTACAAAGTATGTTTTGCTTTCAGTTTATTAGAAGATTACATGCAGTACAAAGTATGTATTTTTAGAGTTTATTAGAAGATTACAGGACAAAGTATGTTTTGTTTAGAGTTTATGAGAAGATTACAGTACAAAGCATGTTTTGTTTAGAGTTTATGAGAAGATTGCAGTACAAAGTATGTTTTGTTTAGAGTTTATGAGAAGAATACAGTACAAAGTATATTTTGTTAAGAGTTTATGAGAAGATTACAGTACAAAGTATGTTTTGTTTAAAGTTTATGAGAAGATTACAGTACAAAGCATGTTTTGTTTAGAGTTTATGAGAAGAATACAGTACAAAGTATGTTTTGTTTAGAGTTTATGAGAAGATTACAGGACAAAGTATGTTTTGTTTAGAGTTTATGAGAAGATTACAGGACAAAGTATGTTTTGTTAAGAGTTCATGAGTAGATCATATTACAAAGCATGTTTTGTTTAGAGTTTATGAGAAGATTACAGTACAAAGTAAACCTTGTTCCTGTTCTAGCTAAGGCAGATTCGCTGACAAAGGTAACGCCTGAGACTAAATTGAAATAATTTTATCGGAATTTATGGTTTTAGAGATTGTAATTTAGCAAATGTCATAGGATTGTATATATTCCATCTTTATATTACTTTGCTTGTCTATCTCTTTGTCTGTTTGATTGTATCAATTAAACGTCAAAGCGACTGAACCGATCGGACCCAAATTTTTTGTGGGACCTCACATGACCCGTGGAAAGGTTTATAGAAGATCAAAATTACAAAAATTTGCCTCCAACAAAATTAGATCTACATAAAATTTTAAAATCCACGAAATTTCTTGTATACAAAGAGAAGTGTTCACAATTGAAATAAAAGATAGGCGCAAAGCGCCCTAAAAGCCTTGTAGAAAAGATTTCACAATATACCAAATTATATTATATAAAGAGCAAAGGATGAAACCAAAGGAATTGAGTCCTTTTTACATACTCTAATTTTCTGATGTTAGTTTTTTACAAACTCTGTTTTTGTTATTCTTATATCTTTGCCGCCTGATGTCGTAGACCATATATATTTAAAAATTTGAATTCTGTTAGATCTAATAATCTAAATTTTAAATATAAAACGTATTCACCATCATTTGCAAAATTAAGGAGATTAGAAAATTTAAGGTTGTGGTAAAGACTCAATTCCTTAGATTTCTGATCGCATTTTAGGACGGCATTAAAGTCTCATCCTTTGTGGTTCACTCTGTACATACATATATACATACATATATACATATATATATATATATATACATACATATACATACATATATATATACATACATATATATGAAAAATGAGAAATTGTTTGAAAAAGTAAATAAATATTCCATATTTTCTGATTTATCAATATATTTAGAGGGAGTTGATAGCGAAAAAGAAAAGAATAAATGCAGAATTAGGTAAAAAGAAATCATAAAAGTGTACAATGATACAAAGATTGCAAGTTCTCACGCAAAAATTTATGAGAATTTTGCCAATTACTTTTTTAACTCAGCTATAAATAAGTGATGTTAAAGTTGATCCGGTCTTGAAAACTTTTTTTGTACATATTTTTTTTTGATTATGAATTTTTTGGTGCAATTTGTACCGTTTGTACCTGATAATCAAAACTTTTGAGCATGCAAAAAGATACTATAATATACAAAGATACAAAGATACAAGGATACTAGGATACACAGATAAAAAGATACAAAGATGCAAAGGTACAAAGATACAAAGATACAAAGATGCAAAGATACAAAGAAACAAAGATACAAAAATACAAAGATACAAAGATACAAAGATACAAAGATACAAAGATACAAAGATACAAAGATACAAAGATACAAAGATACAAAGATACAAAGATACAAATATAAAAAGATACAAATGTAAAAAAAATACGAAGATAGAAATTTTAAATTTTCAGCTGAATTTGAAATTGAGCTGTACCAATTTCCAGATACTGACTCTGATGAAGACGAAGAGTTTAAGGTAAAAATGTTTTTATTTTTTTAAAATTTTTTAATTTATTTTTAAAATTTATGAAAATTCAAGACTTTAATTTTATCATACTTTTTTACCCATGGCTAAGTTGGAAATTTATGAATGCAGATTAGTCAGAAACAAGCTTAACTGGTTCAAAAGTTACCAAACGAAGTGGTTTTTGAACATCAATAGGAGAAATTTGTCAAGTTTAGTTTTGGATTGTCAATTTCAATATGAACAGAAAATTCATATTTATATTTTGCTATCTAAGTTTCTATAAGAAAGGTAACTTGTTTATTTTCATTTTTTTGCATTTAGCATTTATACAAGGAATGTAAAAGTAATTTTATTTAACAAATACAAAATAATAGAAATATTTTTATTTATTGATTTATGAAATATGCGACACAGAAACAAACACGAAATCAATTTTAAAAAAATACATCTAAAAAAATATATACTTGTGTACAATTTTAAGGTTCTCTTTATGGTCTTTCCAGGAAATGTTTTAAAAAACTCTTCTATAAATAATTTTTTTTACAGTCTGAGAACGATACTTTGAGGCGAAGCATACCATTTGCTGTTGTGGGGGCCAACACAGTTATAGAGGTGTGTTTTTGTAGTCATATATAATTGAAATATTTCATTTTTATTTACGTTTAGTTAAATATTTAAGATTGATTTTATTATTTTTATATTTTATATTTGTTTATCTATGATTTTTATTTTATAATTTTTTATTTGCTTATCTATGATTTTTATTTTATAATTTTTTATTTGCTTATCTATGATTTTTATTTCATAATTTTATATTTGCTTACTTATAATTCTGTAATTGTATTTTCATGATTTTAACCATATACTTTTTCTTTTGTACATTGAATTTGATACACTTAATAAAATAGAAACTAATAAAATAAAATAACTGTGTACATTATGGATATATATTATTTTTGCAGATGGACACCTTTTTAAAAGAGATTTAACTTTTTAAACTTATTAATAATTATAGAAAAACGAAAGCTTTATTAACAAACTAAACATATCAAAGTATATAAATAACTAACTATGTTTCGCGGAATTAGAGATGTTTCCGAACCAGATGAAGGATTAGAAGTTTCATCTCTTGTATTTTGATCTCGAAACAAACTAACTATACATAGATTTTCCCCTTAGGAAAAATACCACAATTTTTAGGATTATGAATATGTTTGTAAAAACCTGAAACTAACGCTATGATTATTTCAACAAACACAATTTGTATAGTTGTTATCCAAATAAAAAAATGGAATATCATGTTGAATTAAAATACGTGAACACTCCTTTTAAAAATTTTATTGTTTGTTTAGGTTGGTGGAAGGAAGATTCGTGGTCGTCAATATCCCTGGGGTCTTGTAGATATTGAGAACACAGAGCATAGTGATTTCAAACATCTAAAACGCTTCCTTATACAAACTCATATGCAGGTCAAAATTTTTTCTCAAAGGGACTGAAGATATAATTTTAAGACACCTTATTTCTTTAATTGGGATTCCGATTCACAAGGGAACCCTTTAGATCTTTGTCTGAACAAAGATGAATGAGGTACTTCACCTAGCTGATTTTTCTAAAACCATAGTTTCTCTTTAAAAGAATTGTGCATATTTGCTTATAATCATTGAAGAAAATTAACATAATTCAACAAATTTCAGATGAATAACGACAACAATTTTCTCGTTATCACTCAGTTAGAGGATTACAGTAGGGTTTCCAAATCAAGTGGATTTCACTTTCGCGCAATTGCGAGCCCTGTAAATTGCACGCAATGCCGCGCAATTAATTTTTAAAAGAAATTAACTTGAAATTACGTCGATGACTTCTATGATAGAGGGTGGCCAAGGTTTTGAAAAGAAGGATAAGCTTATAATTACACAAAGATGTCTCCGATTTAACATAAAAGATTGCAGTTTTGTTGAGTTCCTAATTTCATAAAATGTATCGTTGGTGTTTTTTAGGATCTGAAAGATGTTACGCACGATGTTCATTATGAAAATTTCAGGTAAATTAGTAATTATTCTTTCCATTTCTTACAACCAAAATATATTTATTTAAAAAAGATTAAGTTATATGTTGGGGTTCTTTTATTTTGATAAACATTTTTTGTGTTTAGAATTGCTCTGCTAAAAGAGCTTGAGAGTGTCGGTGGAGGTGGAGTTGGTGGAGGTGGGGTTGGAGGATGTGGAGGGCAGACTGCTCAAGGAGAAGAAGTTTATGAGGTAAAAATAAGAGAGGGGTCAAAAGTGTATTAAACGAAATTAAAATCTCTAAAAAATATAACATTCATTGGCAAAATAAGAATGTTTTTTTTAGGAAAACAATGTGTTATTGTTGTAAAAACAGTGTGTTGTTGTTAAAACAGTGTGTTGTTTGTAAAACAGTGTGTTGTTGGTAAAACAGTGTGTTGCTGTTAAAACAGTGTGTTATTGTTAAAACAGTGCGTTGTTCTTAAAACAGTATTTTCTTGGTAAAACAGTGTGTTGTTGGTAAAACAGTGTGTTGTTTATAAAACAATGTGTTGTTTATAAAACAAAGTGTTATTGGTAAAATAATGTGTTGTTGGTAAACATTGTGTTGTTGTTGTTTAAACAGTGTGCTGTTGGTAAAACAGTGTGTTGTTTATAAAACAATGTGTTGTTTATAAAACAAAGTGTTATTGGTAAAACAATGTGTTGTTGGTAAACATTGTGTTGTTGTTGTTTAAACAGTGTGCTGTTGCTAAAACAGTGTGTTGTCGGTAAAACAATGTGTTGTTGGTAAAACAATGTGTTGTTGGTAAACATTGTGTTATTGTTGTTTAAACAGTGTGCTGTTGCTGAAACAATGTGTTGTTGGTAAAACAGTGAAAATTATTTAGGATCCGGAGACAATACTGCTTCTTCAACATAAGGAGGAGGAGATTAAGAAAATGCAGGAAATGCTGAACAAGATGCAGCAGCAGCTAGCAGCTGAATCTAAATAGAGGGTAGCAGCTAGGAGCTTAATCTAAATAGATGGTAGCAGCTAGGAGCTTAATCTAAATAGATGATAGCAGCTAGGAGCTTAATCTAAATAGATTGTAGCAGCTAGCAGCTACATATAAATAGATGACAGTAGCTAGCAGCTGAATCTAAAAAGATGACAGCAGATAGCAGCTGAATTTAAATTGATGACAGCAGAAAGCAGCTGAATCTAAATAGATAACAGCAGCTAGCATCTGAATCTAGATATATGACAGCAGCTAGCATCTAAATAGATGGCATAGTAGCTAAATAGTTAGCAGCAGGTAGCAGCTGAGTCTAAATAGAGGGCAGCAGCCATCAACTAAATCTAATTAGATTGTAGCTAGCAGCCAGCAACTTAGTCTAATAAACTCTAATTAGACTCTACCTAAATAGAGGGCAGCAGCCATCAGCTGAACCTTAATAAATAAATCTTGATAGCTGGCAGCAGCCAGCAGTTGAATAGTTTACAGAAGCTAGCAGCTGAATCTAAATATTTCGTAGCACCAACTTTTCTCAGCTATATATGTAACTCGTGTATTGTATATGTACAAAAACGGTAAATTTGGTTTTCAATTCCTTACTTCATAATCTTCTATCTCTGAGTACCCTGACATATGAACAATATAAGGTATTTCAATGCATTAATTTAATTATGCTGCCTGAATCAACACCGTTTTCCTGGTGCTAATGTGTTTTACTACGCAGAGTATATCTGCTAGTTAGAAAAAAGTGAAAGTAAAAAGTGAATTTAAAAAAAAAATATTTCATGTAACTCTTTTATTTATGTCGTGTCTTTGTCAAAAATATTATTTTCATCCACGAAAAAAAAATTGTACATCCATTTTTATTACTTCAATGTCTTTTATGTCTTTTTAACATTATTCTTTAAATTTTTCAAGGCCCAAATTATTACCCTGTATTTCAAATCAGTTGTTTAGATTTTACCCAGAGATTTTATGAAATGTCGTCTTGACAATTTTTCAATGGGTTTTATACTATTCAGTAATTTCAATAATAAATAAATAGCCATGAATAACGGGAAAAGTTTTAAAGAGCTCCATATAATCATTTAAATAAAAAACTTAATATCTGTAGCATTCCATTATCAGAAAGTAAGGAATACGACATTTTTTTAATTCTTCCGATGTCTCTTTATATTTGAATTTAACTGTATTAAATAATTTTTGAGAAATAATTTTGAAAAATCCAGCAACATTTTATGAAACAATTGTATTGTTTTTTCCTTAAAAGTCTGTGAACTATCGATATTAATTTGTACCTTTTTATTAAATGTTTAATACATTTTTACTTGCTCACAGCCCACAGGGTTTTTTATTGACATTAAACTTCAAAAAATAATTTTAGTTTATTATCTACAACGTTTTTAGTACATTTATTGTACATATTCTTACAAATTATGTGTTCATATAAATATTAAAATCTTATCCTTTTTTTAAAAAAAAATCCTAAATATTTGTTTTCTTAATTTTTTCATGAACATATAAAAATACTATTTATTTGCAAATGGGGTTGGGTGGACTGAAGGTTCTTAATTTTGCTTTTCAAATTGTTATACATTTTTAAGGTAATTAAACATTTTGCATACTTTAAATTTAAACGGGGATTAAAGAATTTTCAGGAACAAGTTCTTTTTTCTGTGTTTGTTTCAGAAAATATAACGACAATAATCACATTTTCTACAGAGTTATTTAAATCTTAAAGTACCGATGTGAATTGAACATGTTAAATGGATAGTCTACAGTACAGTATAGGTAGCTAAAGAATTGAACATGTTAAATGGATAGTCTACAGTACAGTATAGGTAGTTAAAGAACTAATTCATGATGATTACTTGCCCCTGAGCTCCTTCGTCTGAAATTTAATCATTAAAATTATCGATATATACACTATACAGGGTTACCCACAAAGGATGAGACTATGAAGACTACCCAAAACTTTAAAAATATGACGATTTTTAGCTTGAATTTTTGTATCTGAGAATTGTAATGGTTAACTAAATGAATAAGCACAGAGATAAGCCAGTTTTTGCCTTCAAGGAACCCTGAATCCAATAAAACGGATTAAACAAATCCTGTACAATCGTCACTGAAGTCTCATTCTTTGTGGGTAACCCTGTACCAAACTTCCATGGGGATGATAAAATGGAATATTTCGGCGTTAAAGGTTCTGTACAGATGTAATTTGAAGCGGGTTGTCCGATACACCTCCATGAGAAAGATATCACGGTACTTTTATTCTTTATTGAAAACTGATAAATTCTGTGAATTTTTAGCTAGAAAAATATAAATATCTTATTCAAACTTATTGAGAAGAAGGTTTAAAAAACACAGAGAACCAAACGTGCAATGCCATGATGCCAGTTTTTAAACAAAGAGTCACTTAAAATTAGCCTACAGTCCCTTTAAACAATGACATGGAGGTAAACTTCCCCTTTCTTGGAAGTCGCTGAAACTGTTTTACATGTTAATCAAATTGAAGGAAGAATTGTTCTGTCTTTACAGAAATATAAAGACGACATTTACACTTATGTAAATGCATAATTCAATAAATATTGTACGACGTACAAAATGTACATTGTTATGCATGGTTATTGTGAAATATTTATACAGGCAAAAAAAAACAGTTTAAATCAACAAAACTTATTAAAATAAGTTTTTGGCTTTCCGTTCCACTATCTTTTGGCGACTACTGTACCCCTCTTAGACCTGTAGTTTCCAACATTAGTTGAACAGGAGGAAACTTGATCATCAGCAAACTGTAAGGTAACTTCAGATCTATAATATACAGGGTGTCCCAATTACACATGAGAAGTGTTGACGATAACGTTTATGGTTTGAGTATTTTTCAAGTATGATAACATTTACGAATGATCGCTTGGATCGAAAACGATTTAAAAGTCATCGCCTAAGCCCCCTGTTAATTGGAACACCCTGACTGGAAACATAATTAACAAAAATCATGATTCGATTTCTCCTAAATCAGTTTAGATTAATAATTAGGATTTAAACCTTTCATCTGAAAAATAAAGATATTATTATTTTAACATTTAAAAACAAATAATAAAACCGGTTTTTGATCAAAATATATTTTCTTTCAGGGTCAGAAAAATAGTTTATTCTAAACATTTGTTTTCGTACACTTTATATATTAAGTGCTTAATCTTGCCCGAAGATCTATGCAAAGAAAACGATCCAAAACGATCGTTTTTAGGTAGTTTTTTTTTTTTTCTTTAACATTTAATACAGTTTTGAAATCTTGAAAGTTTTATTATTGTTTTTGAACGATTAACAACACTAGTTAAAAGTCGTCTGATTCATGAGGTACAGGGTGTCCCACGAAACATGACAGCTGGTAAAAAGTTTTAAATGTCTTCTTCCATAATTTGCGATATTGTTTGATACCAAACAGAAAGAAAAATAGTTTGACATGGAATTTTGGAAGTCATATTATAATAAAATTAATTTTAAAGTAAAACATATTTGATTAAAACATTTTTTTAGCAAATTAAACTGCTAAAAGTCTTTAATATTTAATATAGTGTATGGTAAAAGACATTCAAAACCATTCACCAATTGTCATGTTTCGTGGGACACCCTGTATTTGAATAACTAAATTCATCCATTTTCCCTTTTTATTCCCAGCGCTGTTCTTCCCTAAAAATATTTGAATATATTTACCCTTCGAATTCGGACATTTTAAATCCTGGTTGTGACAGAGACCTTTGTTTTCTTTTCCTAAAAAAATTATTTTGTGAAGAAAAACGTATTTAAATACAATTAGATATTTTAGATATAAACAGTTAGACAGAGAAGCAGCTGTGCTAATAGAAATTAAAAACAATATTCCTAACATTACAAAATCTAGATATAAAAGCGTGTCTGTCTGGGGGTTTGTTTGTTTGTTTGTGTCCAATAAACGTCAAAATGGCTGAACGGATCGGCCCCAAATTTTGTGTGGGACCTTGCGTGACCCCAGGGAATGTTTATGAATGATCAAAATTTCAAAAATTAATATTTATATAAAAGTTTTTTATATTTATAAAATTTTGAAAATGCGCGAAAAAATATTATGAAATCCGCAAACTTTTTTACTATACTGTAAAAAGAGAAGATTCTCACAGATAAAGCCAGAGTTAAAAGTTGAAAAAAAAGATGGGCGTGAAGCGGCCTAAAACCCTTGTATGTTAAAAAAGAAGTTATTTTTTTTTTCAAAAAAATAATTTTGAAAAGAACACATTGATCTTTGTCAATTAAACGAAGACAATATAATTATTTTTAATTAGCAAAATGAATGATGAAATTGAAATAAATATTAAGTTATATCCCACAAACTCTGATTTTCATTTTCGTATCCCTTTAGTTTTGCAATCTTGTCGTAGATCTTAAGATATTTCAAACTGTGAATTCTGCTGGGTAAAACAATCTAAGTTTAAAATGTCAAAAGTTTATACCATCTGAGTCTAAAACTAAAGAATGCGCGAATTTTAAGTTCGAGGTTAAAAGTTCTGTAAAATAATGAGTAGCTACTTAAATATTAAACTTTCTCAATTTTAAATTTTAATTTCCCGGGAAAAATCTGAACCAATCAGAGGAAAGGATTTACGGCGAATTTTTACGTAACTATCGGTAATCAGCTGTTTTTTTAATCTATATATAAATTAGGCTTGTCTGTCTGTCTGTTTGTCTGTTTGTTTGTTTGTTTGTTTGTATCCAATAAACGTCAAAACGGCTGAACCGATCGGGCCCAAATTTTTTGTGGGACATCTAGGGACTTCAGGGAAGGTTTATGAATCATCAAAATTTCAAATATTTGTCTCCATCAAAATTCGATCGTCATTAAATTTTTAAGAATTTTGAAAATCCGCGAAATTTTTTGTGAAAATCCGCGAATTATTTTTGTTTTGTTTTACGATGTACACAAAGAGAACATGTTCACAACTAATTTAGAAGATGGGCGCGAAGCGCCCTCTAAGGCTAGAAAGAAGGGCGCGAAGCGCCTTGAATTTCTAGTTTTAAAATATTTACGTAACGGAAAACAAAACATATTTCCAGTTACAACTTACACCGTATTTTGGGTTCAAGAAAGTTTAATATTTAAGTAGCTTCTCATTATTTTACAGAACTTTTAACCTCGAACTTAAAATTCGCGCATTCTTTAGTTTTAGACTCTGGTTAAAGTTCAGGTTTAAATTAAGTCAGAAGTGACATTTAACCATAAACTTAAAATTTAAGTAAAAACTTTTCGTTCTTTAGTTTTGAACTCAGGTTGAAAAGATATTTTTACAATTATAAAATTTAAAGAATATATAATCTCGAAGCTTGATGATGAAATCCATTAATATTTCTAACTTTGACTATTTGATTTGGCGGAATTCATAGATTGATATATCAAAAGGTTAAAAGATATTAAGGATTAGAGCATTAAGTAAAAGTATAATATAGTTCCTTTCTAAAGAAATTTGCACTATTTATGATTTTTGACTAACATTTATCGTAATATAGTTTAATCTTTCATAATGCAACTTGTTCATAATGAAAAGGAAATGAACGCACGCTTCAAACTCTAATTTTCTAATCTCTATATTTTTTAAAGCTTTCATATTTTAATCTTTAACTATTTAGTCATGCAGAACTTAGAGATTGAAATACAAAGGTCTTCAATATCAGGTTGCAAAGATATAAGGATTTTAGAATAATAGTATGAGGAGAATATACAGTTCCTTAATTGTCAATATTTTGCGTGCGCCCCAAAATCTGATGGACTACCTGATTATAATAACAACTGTCGTCACAACAGTTAGTCCCAGAACCAAACCAAACATGAATGCTGACCAGCTAAAATCCTCAGTAAATTCCTCAAAAAAAATCCAATTTGATTTAATTTAAAGAGAATGATATTGCCGTGCAGTTTCAATTGAAAGAGTTACATATTGCAGATTCAACAAAGTTTATTTTCACCTTTGTTTGAAAAATATGAAGATAATGTTAATGGTCATTTAATCACAGAATTGATATAATTTCAAGGCGATATTTTTACCATTGTTACGCAGATTTTAAAACTACCATGAATCGGGCTTTCATATTCCTCGTTTATAATTCTTTTATGTTCTACAAAACAAGTAGATTTATCCAATCAGTCAACAAATCCTATTTTTATTAAAGCCTTTTTTCTCTAAAAATAGGGCCCAAGAGCGATGTAAATTCTTTTAAATAATCATTATTTTAATTTTTGAAGAACTTTATTTTTAGATTCACTATTTATGTCAAATAAGGCTTGGCCGCTAAAGAATTATTTTTTTAAGAGAAGTCTCTAAATGGTTTAAATGTTATGTTTTAGTGAAGAATTTCGATTAAAAATCCGCTATTTCATTGAAAACTCTTAAAATAGGATTTTTCGACACGCTACTCTGACTAAACCAAGATTTTGGCGTGCTGCTGGCGCCCCTAAATCTTTTCTATATGTCTGTTAAAATCTATTTATATAATTAGATTATCCCGAAATCCATTCAAGGATAAATATATGAACGAGAAAAGTAATTATAAATTGAAATCATAAATCAATGCTAGCTATACAATTTAAATAATGTTTGTAAATGAAAAGATTATTAGAATTTATAATTAATTTTGTCCAATCTCAACATGAAACACAAGAGAAATGCATTTTTAGAGCAGTAGTGTAACAAAAACAGTTACCCACTATGACCCCCTAAAATACCCCACCGTGGGGTGGGGAGGGCGTACAGTGCTATCAGTTAATGAAGCATGTAAATATTTTCATAATGTAGTCAAAGACCTCGGTATTTTTATTGGTCTTTAATCCTTTTCATGAAAGCTAATCCGTATCCGTACACCAACGGATTAAGTTAATTCCTTTTTGGTATCTTTATAGAAATAAAGGTGTAATCTGTGTTTTTTATGTCCGATCAAAACTCATGAACACCTTTGTCTCAACTTTTGATTGTGGAACTGGTGGGGAACTCTGTGAACGTTATTTGACTTGGTACTGAGATTCTAAATTGAGTGGGTCTACTTCTATAGGGAAAAATAGCTAAAATCGTAATTTACGACCAAGAGCGGATAAACCTGGGCAATGATGGCTTCTCAAACTAGTATTTTTAAAGAGAATTAGATAAACCTGTATTCCTCTTGTAGTGCAGTCGGATGGAGGAGACGAATCTATGAAAAAATTCGACATTTTAATTTTTTCTCCTTAAATATAATGAATATAAACCGGGCGTCTCTGAAAAAGTGCGTTAAAGGTTTTTGCCCACTAAATGTCGTAAGGATTGTAAAAAACATACTATGTAACTCCTACAAAGAAGAAAAGAACTGTTCGACCCGTGTACCACCCTCGCGGTCAAAGCGAGTGCAAAGAACCCTGTATTCTTTATGTGACCAGATCTGATCAATATACTTCTTTAATTTGTAACCCTATCGATTCATTAGAGAGAGAGAACATCATATTGCTGGTTAAAGATTAAGAAGTCTTTATATATTCTTATATCCTACCATCTCAAACTACCCTCCCCAACTCAACTTCCAAATACTTCATCTCCAATTTTCTGAGACAAGTCTTTTACCTGGAATTTCAGTTTTCAGTTGAGTTTTATCTTGATTTTCTTTTTGTTTTTCATAATCAACACTTGTTTGGTTGCTCTCATCAACATTATTTATTGATTCATCTTTTAAACCTGTTTTGTTCTTTATTTCACTTAATAACTGGTGGATACTTTGTAATGCAATATTTTCACTTTGTGTGTAGTTTTTATTCAAAGTTTCCACTTTAGTCTCATTAAACATTGAAATATTATTTAATATGTTTCCTGTAGTTTTCAGATTTATGTCATCTGTCGAAATATTTGATAATGGTCTATCAACATCTGTTAGGGTGCCATTGACAGCTGAAGTGATGTTAAAAGATGTGACAGATGAACCGCTGATGACAGACACACTGCTGTTGGGAGATAAACTATCATTGACAGATGAACTGGTAGAATTATCAGCAACTAACTGTATTTGATTGATTGTTTCATTTCCAGGTTGATCAATGGATTGGTTGGTTGATTGATTGATTAACTGAATTGCAGTCTGGTTGGAAACTAATGTATTTCCATTAAACGATTTAAATTCTGGCTCAAGAACTGAAATATTAATTTAATGCAAATACTTTATTTTGTTTTCCAAAATTTATAACTCGATTAGTCTGCTGATTTTCGACTTTCTTTAAAAAACTACTAGCTCTTACCAATTTGAAAAATTTCGAATTTTTCAAATTGGTTACTCTCGGGGTATCCATGGGTTCCCTAAAAGATTTTAGCCAATTCGGTTTAGCTGTTTTGCCAGCTATATTGACCAAATATATGAGTGAAGAGCTTTATTATTTAGATTAACTGTTGAAACCCACTGTGATTTAAAGATCGCAAAAATAACTGAGAATCTTGCCAATTATTTCTTAAAGAGCAAAGCTCAAAACAAGTACTACAAAAAAGCATAAGTGAGTTAGAGCAGTAAATACAAAACCCAAGGCATTGCACCACTTCAAAGTCGACCCTGTCTTAAAAATTGATGCAACTTTTCATAGCTGCAGACTGAATCTACTGAATCCCTTTTTATTTCTTTTTTGTATTCTTGTGTAAAGAGAAAAAGTTTAGTATATATTCGAAGAAAAAAATGTCACTCATATCTAATGGGAGAATCTAGTTTGCATTTCACCTGAATCACGTGTCTGTTTAGGCCTTGCTAACTTTTCTTGTTCATCTGACTCTGATACAAGTTCAAATAAAAACTTTTATTTTAGAATTTGACAAAAGTTTTTATTTTTTTATTTTAAATAGGTAAAATACTGTATCTTAAAAAATATTTAATTTAACACCAACATACAGTTTAAAAAACTTGATTTATTTTAGTATATACACATAATTTACGAACTACATTAGTGTAAAGTTTTTAAATGATTAACATTTTTGTCCTTCATAAAGAGTCCAGATGGAATTTTTCCCACTGAAACTACAGAACAGAGAATACTCGGTGGCTGAAAACCGAGCCGCGAGATATTAAAGTAGAAAAGGGTTGAAAACTTTATAGTAATTATTTTCGAATAACGAAGGAAAACCAAGTTATAGTTCAACTAATTTAAAGAAAATAACATGATAGGACTTACTTTTAAAAAAAACGTTCATATACATATGGATCGAAATTGTTTATCGTCATTAAAATCGATAAACGTAATTTCAACTGACTCTCAATTGATAAAGATGGCCTGTATATTTACAACTGTACCTTGAAAGCTTTCCCTGATCAAGTATGAAAGACATATACATAAAAAACTGATTATTTTCATCTGTGGGTTCTCTAAAAAAGTTACTTGCACATTTATTGCTTAGGAAGTTATGTAGAAATTATTGGAATTAAACACTTTTCAATCTGGGTATATGACATATTTTTACATATTTTTTATCAGATTAGGGTTTCAAGGGTACCGTTGTGAATCGGGAATGCCCATTTTCTTTTCTTTTTTTAATGGAGGGTTCCTTGAAATGAGTTCTACAGTCCGTTTAATCATGAGAGTTCAACAAAATTCAGAGCGTTTTATTGAATAATAATCTTGCATGGCAATGAGATATTTTCTTTAAATTCTGGCGCTTACGAAGTTACGATTGTTTAAGTGTGCTTCTATTTACATTATTTAGATATGTTGCAAGATAATGATTAGTCCCTTTAAGCAGACATTAATTCCTTACAACAAGTTCTAAAATTTATGTACATTAATCCTTTAAAAGAGAGCTGTCTTTTTAAATGAAGAGGCTAGATAACCCTGGTAGTTGAGCTAAAAGTTTGCAGTATATTGTAGAAATTTTTTAGGATTAATTTCATTTGAGACGTAGATCAGACGTTTTTACGGTGTACGATTGTACAACAAGAGCGCAAATTCAATCTTTAACCTGCTCCTGGAATGTCAATTCTTGAGGGACGATTTTCAGAATTGGTGTTTTTTATAATTTATTCATAAACGACGATGAAAAATGTTACAAAAATTCTGCAGTAAACTAAAATAAGTTGTTTAGGAACAGGTTGAGAAAATAAAAATTAACTCTTATCATAGAAAATAAGTAATTTTATTTAGCTATCGATTCCTGTAATGTTTCATTGTTCAAAAATCCTGAAAAAATTCATTACAATATAGTGACTTATACTGCAATTTCAGCTCAATCACCAGTCTCTCCTTCCTTTTAAGACAGAAGGTAATAAAAATTGTGGTTTTATATAATACATACTATTTAAAATCCATTATAGCTCTTAAAGTCATGAACATTAAAATGTTATACAATTATAATCAAGATTTATTTGAAGATTTCCTAAAACAGAATTTATAATGTCAACTTGGTGTGTGTATACAACACATGATGTTAATTCGAGAAGGAGAAGTAGAATTTGCTTTTTTTCCATCATTTTTATTGAGACAGGGACTAATTCTAATCCATTTGTTCACATTACATTAACCTTTTCCATTAAAAGAACTTTTTTCACCAAAATAAACTTCTTTATTTTATATTCATATCTTGTTAATTTTCACTTTTGTTTTTTCTTCTTTTTTATTTATGTGAATATAATTTTGATTTTTATATCTGGGAAAGTATAAATCACAAATATTTAAATTAGAATGGACCTAAGCTTTGCTATATTAGACTGGACTGAAATATGATCTTTTATCAAACATTTTACTTGAGAGCATGTATTTAGTGACTTTATATAAGAGATGATTTGATATTCAACCTAAGAGTATAGATATATTAGATATATTGTAAATAATGATCAATCATCACCAGAACTCCTTCTACTCCTTTTCCGTAAATACTTACAAGAAGATATGCATCAGTCTCGACTCTCTTTAATCTCTATGCACGAGACTTCGGGCACGCACCACTGACCCTTTAGTAAAAGTAAATTCAACCTGAAGTCTGACCGCGTCAACCTTGTTGCACCGACTAGTCCTATTGAGTGTCTGCTCTATTTACCCAATGTCCAGGCGATGCAGTACAAAATGGGACCGGAAAGGTTGACCCGGCTCGAAAATTCAAATGTACTACGGCTGCCCGTGAGGGGGGACTTCTGTAGAGGGGGATTATGAAATCAGTTGTGTCGGATCCTGGAACCGGAGAAGACCTTATCAATTTACTCTCCTTTTACACACTCGTATTTAATATCTAGAAGCAATAAATGTACTTCTAAAATATATATTTACATATATTAGATATATTATTATATTATATTCAGATAGATTATAGAAGACTAGCCTGGGAAGGAACCCAGCTTTTCTAGGAGTTTCGCTTTAAAAGTCAACCCACTCAACTTAAACTTTCAAACCAAACTACAGGGTGTCCCAAAAAACATGGGAATTCAGTTACGAATTCGATATCGTCTTTGTTATGAATTAGCATTGTAATACCTAATTTCAAAAGCCATAATATTATTATGTCTGCTAGAGTTTATTTTATGAAAAGGGTAAAAGACTGTAAAGATGTGTCTATAATGTCTCCGCAAGATGAACAGTGAATATACGGACAAGTTTACTCTGTTTGTATACTGTAATTTTCTTGTTTTACTAAGTACAACCGGTTGCAGTCAAAACATAAACAAACAAAATGTAAACATAGCAGACGAAACTCTTACAGATTACAGCTTTCTCAGTAGGTATCACTATACTAAATCGAAGAATTATTTGAAAAGACGATATCGAATTCGTCACTGAATTCCCATGTTTTTTGGGACACCCTGTATAAGACCATTCACGTAGTTCTACCGAGCTTCTCAAACAAATAGAGATTACTACTTTATATATAGAGACCGAGTACTTCAATCCCTAGTGGTATACAGGGTGCTTAAAAGAAACAGAGAAATGTGTGCATAAACCCTATCCCATTCCCATGCTATCTTTTGTATTATTGTTAAAGGATAACACTTCATTCACTGAAATAGGGGTCGATGATTTTAGCCGTCGAAACAAATTCACATTAATACATTCATACCGTATCACCCCGGACTAACCAGAGTGAGAAGCATTCGGTTTTATTTATTTGAAATCAAAAATGTTTTGGTCCATATTTCAACAATCTTTAAACTTACGGATTTGTTTATTTTATACTTGTTCATTCAAAATGTATATGCCGACAAAAAAGTATTTAAGAAAAAAGGATAAAATATTATGGATAATGGTTCAAATTGTGATCAAAAGCCATAGCTTTCTGATATATTGACAGAACCGTTAAATCCACGTGGTATTTAATTTTATTATTATATCTCTGATGATCTCGACTTTTAATTTACTATCCTTTGTCAGTAAAACCCAATCCAAAATTCCATTTCAAAATCTAAATCAGATAATTAAAAAAAATACTTATCTACAGTGAACACCAAAAAACTATGTGATTGGAAGACGACTTTTAAACTCAAGTCCAATGTATATGAGACACAGCATAATTGTGAATAGTGAGCAAGACCATATCACTATAAAATTGATTTTTATAACTACTCGTAAAACTATTTTCTTTGTAACAACATTAAATATTCATTGAATATTGCTTCAATGTCGTCTTCCTATTCCACAGTTTTCTGATTATCACTGTATCTTATTCCCTAAAAGTAAATGTTTAAAAGGCTTAATATTCTTAACAGGGGCGTACCGGCGTACTCAGGAATTTGTCCAGGGGGGGCTTCATTTTTTTTCTTTCCAGGGGGGCTCAGCACCCGTTGGGGCCTGAAAACCCCCTGAAATCAATAGATTTCACTAGTCAAGAGGGGGGGGTTAGCCCCTATAGCCCCCCCCCTAAATACGCCTCTGATTCTTAAATTCTGAGACTTTTTGAAGATCCCCTTTCCCCAAAGTAAAACATGAACTCTCCTACTAAACCCCCCCCCCCCTCTGGATAGATAACTGATTGAGAGATAAAACTTTCCTAAAAATATAAACAAATACAGTTCCCCCTCCTCATAGATCCTCTACACTTTAAATATACAGGGTCACAAATAAAATTATATAAAGATAACTCGAAAAATAATATATTTTTTATATCAAAATCAAATTTACATGGCTTGCAGTGAAAAAAAGATAGATTTGCATAAATTCAAAATAATTCTTAAATTTCATTTTGACCAAATTAGTTACAATCAAAAATCCCTCTTTTGTATTTGCTCTTAAAAGATGCCATTTTTTATACACCCTGTTCTCAAGTCCAGCAACACTTGTACTTTATCCTTCTATCCGTTAACAAGCATTTAGTACACAGTACACTCAACTGTCAGAAATTGTACTGCAGATGTAAGTATCTCTTGATTCTTGACTCTTGAGTGCAGATTGCAGAAATTTTCCAAAAAAATACCTTTCTGTGATCGTTAGGGTAGTTTTATAAAAACTATTTTAGTGTTTTAACATTGTAATAAGATATTTTGTGATTGTGAGGGTAGTTTTATAAAAACTATTTTAGTGTTTTAACATTGTAATAAGATATTTTGTGATTGTGAGGGTAGTTTTATAATAACTATTTTAGTGTTTCAACATTTTAAGAAAGAAAAAGAGCTAAAGTAAAACGATCCGTGCTTCGTAAATTAAATTTTCATCCCTTCAGATTAGATTAATTAGATCAATATTAATTTGATACACTAATTAACAGTAAAGTTAAAGAAACCCAAAATAAAGACTTTTGTTCGTAATTTTTGAAAGTTTAAATGATACTGTACAATCTCAAAACAGAAAGACATTACCGGATCTGAATCCGGAAAAGATTAGAAACCCTGTTGCAAAAATTCGCAAATCGGAACCATAAAGCTGATTTTTGAAAAGGTTATGTTTCAAAATACTTGGTTTGTCAGAAGGAATTCAGTTGAGATTTAAAAAAGATGTATTTAAAGGTACAGGGTTACCCGCAATAAGGATCTGAGACTGAAAAGACGCCTGTACGGAATATAATATTTGTTAAGCTTGAATTTTATATTTGTCAAGTAAAATGGTTTCAATTCTTACAGTATTCAAGGCAGAAGACAAAATTCAATCTTCTAATAAATGTTTTTCAAGAATAGGTCGTCATTAAAATCTCATCTTTTGTTACCCTGCACGAAATAAGAGTTTAGATTACCTCTGTACAGTCTTTTTAAAACTATTTTAGAATAGAAAAAAAGATTTTTGCAGACTATAAGAAAAATAATGAAAGAGCAGAAAAGTGTTTTTTTACGTGACCACGAGACCAATGATGTACTGCAATCTATAAACAAAAATGTAAACAAAAACAAATATAATTTATGTAAAGTTCCTTGCTTTTACATTTACTCAATTTTAGGTAAAGTATAATTTAAAAAATTTGAATTTTTTTTCATTCAAAAGAATGTTTCCGAAAAAAGAATCTATAGTATAGTACACAGAATTTCAAGAAAATGCGGCACATAAATTTCACTAGAAGGGGATCATGCATTAAGCCTACTGTCTCGTTTAGCCTTATACCGTCTTATGCTTGGAATGAAGCGAAGTTTACAGAGATGAGGCTGAGCTATCCATTATATTAGTAATATTGAGATTTATTCACACACACAAAGATAAACTTTCTCTTTGAAAATTGATTTAATTTCAATTGTGGTTTTTCTACCAAGTGGCGTGCTTCTTTTCCAACCTGAAACAACGTTATTTTTTACAATTTTGGTCAGATTTAATTTTAAGGGTTACCGTTTGTGAATCGGGCGCATGCTCCTAGTCCTCTTGTATACTTCAGTTTTGATTTCTGACAACCTTTCTTTAAACAAAAAGAATCTGTTCTTTGTTTCCATATTTACCACAAACCTCTGCCCCTTTAGTAAAAGTAAATTTAACCTATAATGAAGCATAGAGTCTGACCGCGTCAACCAATTGTTGCACCGGCTAGTCCTGTCCTAGAACTAGGTACACAGGCGCATACACAGAAATTAAGCTAGGCGGGGGCAAGTTTTCGCGCGAAGCGCGAAATAAAAAATGTTGCCCCCCTGGCCTTAAAAATGCTGTTATTCTATATTAAGTCTACTACATGTCCCATAGGTAGCCCATTTAGTATTCAAGGACTATATATTACAATGTGTCCCTCTGTTTAGTTCTGTATTACTCTCTGAAGTCCTGAGTAGTTTCCTGAGACTATTCCCCTTTTTAGTCCACTGTAGTCCCAATTCAAGGACTACATATTACAATGTATCCATTTGTATAGTTCTGTATTTCCCTCTGAAGTCCTGAGTAGTCCCATGAGACTACTCCCCTTTGTAGTCCTCTGTAGTCCCGATTCAAGGACTATATATTATAATGTTTCCCTCTGTATAGTTCTCTCAATTCCTGAGACTACTTACCTTTGTAGTCCACGGACTATATATTTAAATGTATCCTTCAGTATTATCGGGAAAACATGCCAAACGCTTGCATAATACATATAGCTATAGTTGTTTATCAAGTATGCGGGGGGGGGAGATTTTAGATAAAAGGGAAATACTACGGTAAAATTTGAAAATAAATGGCGCAAAGCACCAAGAAAATTTTCAACTATACTTTTTTGGGGTACGACTATACTTGTATTTGAAACAGGTTTGATACTATTAGTTGTATTCTGGTTAACAGTATTATTGAGAATCTATGCTCCACACATCTTCTTATAGAAGGTAATATTTATAAATCAAGAATATATGGACAACGTACTCATTTTGTTCATGATATTAAACAAAAGAAAACTATTTTTAGAACATTACGAACATAATGTTCATCAAACAAATGAAAACTATTAAATTACGAACATTATGTTCATAATATCAAACATATAGTGCAAATTAACGTTAGCCTTAATGAACTTAATTACGTTTAGTACGATGTTCATTAGTCCGATCAAGCAATATAGTGCAATCGATATTTCACCCCTAGCTCTCACCCCCCCCCTTCCCTAACTCCCGGTCCACGTGCAGACAAACAGCTGATTTTTATCAACAATCAACATTGAACAGAGTACACTTTACACAATTTCATGACAATTACTAATTCTTTAGCTAAAATTTACATCGCAATCAATTCAGTGAAAAAAGAAACAAACTGCATTATTGTCAGGGTAATTTCCTAATATACGATTTTTTGACCCCACCGACCCCCTCCCTAAATATATACTAATTTTGTTGTAAATTATTAAAAATGAAGACCCGCCCTTGCCGCAGCGCTCGGCCCCCTAGCCTAGGTTCTAGCCGAAGTGTTCGGCCCAGAAAGGGTCTTAACCTAACCTAACCCTAAATGATAAAAATAATAAAAATAAATTTGCATGAAATAAAGTGGTCATGTACAAAATTGATAGTGGGGGGAGGGGGGGTGGGTACTAAATCGTATACTTGGGCGGACCCATTGTCAGTATCTAAAAATCTTTTGCAAGAGGAGCACAGCGACGGTTGAAGTTTGATCAGGAGAGAATTGCTCACAACATTTCCACACTACGCTAGCTACATTTTTAGATTTTTGGATGGTCGATCCGTGCTTCTCAAGCTGAGCCCATTCCGTTGCCAGTTGCAGTTCGTAGTCTGAATTCGTTTTATAAGCGATCTCTCTCCGTAATGGCAGTTAAGCAAAGTTGATAATAGTTGATTAGTTCTCATGTTTATTTTGTCACTGATATGCTGAAGAAGGCATGTGAAGCAAAGAATTGGTATTACTATCGAAGTATCTCAAATTCTCAAAATAAAGAGAAGTGTTTGTTTCTGCAATTACGTCAAGGTTTCCTATACTAGGAAATTACATATCAAATTACAGATAAACTTACATCAAAATGAAAATCTCATATTATTCAAAATTAAGGTAACTAGCTTTTCTAACAAACATTAATTAAGATAAACTTCATATACAGATACAGACACATGACAGATACAGATACAGGTGTGACATGGTTTATGTTGAAGTTATAAATCTGAAAAGATATATTTGGCTGTAAAGCTGGACCCCTTTCCTGTCCTACCCGTGGCGCGTGGTTCTCTTTTCTTTCCAATTTTTCATTATTTCAAATCATTTCACCTCTCCCTTTAAAATAGCCTCTGATTTATTTATTAATATGAAGTTTAGGTTTATTCTTTAAAATTATTTTATTTTCAGTTTTTCACGACGTTTTCTATGGCTGTCCTTAACCCTAATAATAACAGGGCTAATTTTTCTACACAAAATAATTTATCCTGAAGTGGTGAGTATACTTTAATAATAATTTTAAACGGTTCTTTCCAGTTGGAATAACAATATTTGACTTTCAATTAAAAATCTATGTAGGAAAGTCATGAGAAAAAAGTATCCGGAAAAAAACCTGAAAATAAAAACTTTGGTAAAAAAGTTCCAATTTTCAGAAGTCCAAGGACAAAATGTCACTGGAAAGAAAGTCCTAAGTTTTAGATTTCTGGGACTTTATTTCCCAAAAAATATGGGGGCTGCCAATAAATTCTCAGGAAATAAGCTCACAGGAATTAAAGAAAATTCTAATAAAAAAGTCTCAAGTCTTAGGAAAATGAGGTAAAGTCTTAGAAGTTTTCATAAAAAGGATTTTTTTTCTATGCATCTGCATATTGAATATATCAATATCAAGTCCTTGTTTTTCCATGGTTGTAAACATACTTTGCTTTGCTCCCAGGCATTTTCCACTAAAAGAGGACTGTTCAGGAATTTTTTTGTAAAAATACTGAAGACAAAAAAAAAGTCTTAGAAAATGAAGTCTCAAACGGTAGAACTTTATATCTAGATATTTTTTATTTTAATGACTTTTTTCCACAGGACTTTTTTAGTGCTTAAATTTAGGGACTTTATTTCCGAAAACTTTTTTCTTCAGATAACTTTTTTGGCGGTTTCCTCAAATAAAGATTCTTTTATTTTTTTTATTTTTTATAATCTTAAAGGAAATTCATAAGATCAGTAAGTTTCATATTAAGAGTGTTAACGCAATTTTAAGTGACCCCCCATGCAAAGATGGTATTGCAGACAATGCCATCTTTGCATGGAGGATCACTTGAATTAACGCTTACAGTCCCTTTAATGACGGTTGTCACTTATTATCTATTTAGTTAATTTTTTCTCTTTATGTTGGATAAATTATATAAACCAATAATAAGGATGATATTGCCGAAATAATAAACATGAAATATGCATAAAAAAGTTACTAGTTAGCTTACAGTTGCTTTTTAAACACTAAAACCCACCTTTTAAATGTTTAAATGTTTTAAAATACAGTGGTTAATGTTTGAAAAATATATTTTTGAACTAATGATATCGGGCATTTTATTCAGGTTCTTTATGGAGAAATTTATGACGAAAATGTGACGGATCATTGCAGCTCTACTTTAGGAATCAATTTAATTATCTATATATAAATTTGGCTTGTCTGTTTGTCTGTTTGTCTGTCTGTTTGTATCCAATAAACGTCAAAACGGCTGAACCGATCGGGTCCAAAATTTTTGTGGGACATCTAGGAACCCCAGGGAAGGTTTATGAANTCTCTACCCTCTCTACCCTCTCTACCCTCTCTACCCTCTCTACCCTCTCTACCCTCTCTACCCTCTCTACCCTCTCTACCCTCTCTACCCTCTCTACCCTCTCTACCCTCTCTACCCTCTCTACCCTCTCTACCCTCTCTACCCTCTCTACCCGCTCTACCCTCAATACCCTCTCTACCCTCTCTACCCTCTCTACTCTCTCTACCCTCTCTACCCTCTCTACCCTCTATTCTACCCTCTATTCTACCTCTCTACCCTCTCTACCCTCTGCTTACTTACGATTTATGTCATTACAGTTGCAGCAGGCCTCTACCTTAATTACAATAACATTAGGAACTTTTAAAACCAAAGCAAATAAGATTTAGTAATTTTGAAAAACTCACCTGTGTTAAACTAGTTGTTGTGATATTCAAGAAAAGTAGGTTTTATTTTAGAATAGTTCTAAGATTATTATACAAAGACGGACTTGAAATATGTACCTGACGTTTTTTTCGTGTTCCATCACAATTACACTTCATAGTTTCACAGTTTATACCATAATCACTTCCTACCAGACCAACCTAGAACAAGGACCTTTTTTCTTCATAAATTAGTTATTTCAAATGGCTCAAAGATTTTACGATAAAAAATTAAAATTTCACTCTAGCGAATTACATCCTGACTGTGTCTGCATATATAAAAATATATTTTATTTTTCATTTAAAGTTTCATGCCTTTGCAAAGCGTTAAAGATGTGATGAACTAGTAAATATATAAATTCTGCATTCAGTGGATCAACTAGGGTTCTGCGCTCAGGATTTTTAGACAAAATGTTGGCACTTTTGTGTGGAGTTTCGGTTATCTTGAACGCTTAATCTCGATTTCCAATGTGGGCTCTTTTAAATTTGAATATATCTGTTTAATCCCTCAATTAATGTTACCCCAGTAGGGTATGGCCACCACGGGCTATTGAAGAGGAATTACATTAATCCCTAGGTCTGCATCAGGTGGAGATTAATGCCTGATTTACAATACAAAAGTTCAGTTTAGTGTTCCAGGAATTTGTAACTATGAATTCAGATAGATTAACTGAGTCAAAGTTTGAAATATCAAAGATTTTTATGATGCAATAATCAGAATGTTCAGTGAATTGTAGATTGAGACGAATCACACTGAACTCATGTATACATTTGAATCATGAGCTGAACCGACCTCTACCTTGACGGTCCTAGTTTGTACTGCTCCACCCGGTGCACCAACTACACTGGTAGCCATACAGCTATAGTTAACATAGTTGGGCTAGCTCTGTAAGCAGGGCCATAAGCTGATGCAACTAGGTTGACGCGGTCTGACTTTAGGCTGCATCCGGTTAAATTTAAAATCCCTTTTCCTATTAAAATCCCTGTAAGAGGAAATTTTGCGTGGAGTAACCTGTTTTTTACCATGTTAGTTAAGTGTGTAGTTCTGGCTGTCCTAGGTTGGATTGTTGATGAAGGAAGAGAAGGTTTTAAATATACATTTCTATCTGGTAGTCTAGATGTTACAGATACATCTCCATTTGGAAGTCTCGGTGTTACAGATACATCTCCATTTAGTAGTTTCGGTGTTACAGATACATCTCCATGTTGTAGTCTCAGTGTTACAGCTACATCTCCATCTGGTAGTCTCGGTGCTTCAGATACATCTACATCTGGTAGTCTCGGTGTTACAGATACATCTATATCTGGCATTCTCATCAAAAAACTAGATCCATTCTTCATCGTCACAACATACATGCTAAAAAAATATGATTATGTTCTAGCTGTTTTGAGATATAACTTTGTTGACACAAATAAAAGAACAAAAGGGATATTCGGTAACTTTATTGAATAATAGCATGAAATGAGAAATAAAAGCAAAGTTTAAAAATATTGACCCTTAATTGGGAGTATCTAAACGGTTGAAAATGAAATAACATTGATTATTAGTGTTGAAAGGAATGGAACAGTTGGAGCTTCATGTTGGTGGAGCAGATCAACAGGAACTGGCAAGAGAGGATTGATAACACCTGGCTTATCCAACCTAGTAGGCGGAGATCGCGGTTTTATCATGATGCGATTGAGCGATTATGTTGTCTCTGTATTACATGATAAACTGGGAACCCTTAGGATAGCTCGACTGCTGCTAGCTGAGTATTTCATTTTCTAAAACTTTTTTAATAAGAGTGTTATGATATTTCAAAAAGGTAGGAAGCAATCACATATTCCGTTTTTTAATCAATATATCTCAAAGGAAACATAATTTATTCATAAACAAAGGATATGAGTCTTTGTCACAAACTTAAATTTTCTAATCCCTATATCTTTGCAACCTGGTGGTGTAAGCCTGTGATATTTCAAACTTAAATTACTTATATCAGAATTCATAGTTTGAAATATTTAAGGTTCACGACAGAGGGTTGCAAAGATATATGAATTAGATTTAAAATTCGGTGATGGTGATGGACCAAACCTCTGTAGAGTAAAAAAGTAGATGTTAGTTCCACATTTATTGAAAATATATTTCGGTCTGGGTTGACCCTCGTCAGTTCTTGAGATTGTTTCTTCACAAATCATAGTTTGTGACAAAGACTCAATTCCTTTGTAAATAGTAAAAAGTTTCAAAAACTGAGACTATAATTCAAATTATTAGAAAGGGGTTTATTATTATCACTCTTTCAACTGCAGTGCAATAGGAAGAATGAACAAAAGATAGAATTACAAAAGGTAGAATACACAAAAGGTAGAGTTACAAAAGGTAGAATTACAAAAGATAGAATTACAAAAGGTAGAATACACAAAAGATAGAATTACAAAAGGTAGAATAAACAAAAGGTAGAATTACAAAAGGTAGAATAAACAAAAGATAGAATTACAAAAGGTAGATTACACAAAAGGTAGAGTTACAAAAGGTAGAACGTTCAAATGGTAGAATTTCGAGTTTTCGAGAGTCGGGAAAATTTTCCAATTTTTGCAAATCTGCAAAACGTTTTTGAAAAATTCCTAAAACTGCATTTCTCGTTGGAATTCAGCATGGAGCGACTGCTACAAAATTTCGACAGTTAGAAAAATGTTACATTATGCAAGTTTAAGTAAAGAAAATTTCTAGGCCGAGCGCTGCGGCCTCTTAAGTGTTGATTGTTTATTTTAGCTGACTATTTCACGCTTCTTATTTAGAAATTGTCTTTAAATTTTTAAACTGTAATCGCCAGTTCTAGCTGTGGCACTTGTCTCGGCTCGGATACGAGAGACAGATTACAGTACATTATTCAACATTTAAGAGACGCAGCGCTCGACCCCTTGCCCATCCTAGCCGCAGTGCTCGGCCTAGAAATTGTCTTATCCTAACCTAACCCAAAATAAAGTGAGAGTCAGCACATAAATCAGCATTGAAGAGGCCGCAGCACTCGGCCCAGAATTGTCTTAACCTAACCTAACCCAACATATTGTAATATTGAAATAGGAAAATTCGACATTTTAAACGTTCAACCTTTTTTAAATCTACCTTTTGTAAATCTACCTTTTGTAAATCTAACTTTTGTAATTCTATTTTTTGTAATTCTACCTTTTGTAATTCTACCTTTTGTATATTCTAGGTAGATTTACAAAAGGTAGAATTACAAAAGGTAGATTTACAAAAGGTAGAATTACAAAAGGTAGATTTACAAAAGGTAGAATTACAAAAGGTAGATTTACAAAAGGTAGAATTACTGAAGTATAGCTTATATACTCCAGGAGTAGCTAAAGTTCAGGTCATTAGCTTTAGGAGTAGTTAAAGTTTCGTTTCAAAGCTCCAGGAGTAGCTGAGGTTTAGCTTATTAGCTCCAGGAGGAGCTGAAGTTTAGCTTATTCTCTCTAGGAATAGCTGACGCTTTGTAGGATGATGTAAGTTTATGCTTGACATTGTCATTCTCGTCCAATTCAATTGAGCTGTTTCTGATCATGAGAGGCTGTGTTTTTGGGTGACATGGAAACGCCTCAACACGGAAACGCCTCAACACGGAAATGCCTCAAAATATCGGACTCATAAAACTAATTTAATGTCGTCTTCTCTCATTAAAAAAAAAATTTTAACAATTATTTTACCGTTAACTTAGGGTAAGTTAGGTTGCGTCGCAGGCTACGGAGGGGGCCGAGTGCTGCGGCTATGATGGGCTAGGGGGCCGAGCGCTGCGACTAGGACAGGCTAGGGGGCGGTGCGCTGCAGCTAGAACAAGCTAGGAGGCCGAGCGCTGCGGCCATGGCTGTAAAAATCTTTAGAATATAGTCTTTTTAATTTTAAGTTGAGAGAAGACGACATTAAATTAGTTTTATGATTCTGTTTTTTGAGGCATTTCCGTGTTGAGGCGTTTCCATGTCACCCTATTTTTGGTAATGGTTCATTTGTTGTCTGGGGACACCTATTTAGAAGTACATTTATTGCTTCTAGATATAAATACATAATGAACAACGAGGAGAGAAGAGGAGAGGAAGATGAGTAGGTCTTCTCTGGTTCTAGAATCCGACGCTACTGATTTGCGGATTTTATAATCTTCATTTGGGGATTTCATCCTCTGCAATTTCTGGTTTCTATACAAACTAGCCTTAGAGGGCGCTTCGCGCCCATCTTCTAAAATAATTGTGAACATGTTCTCTTTTTGTACATCGTAAAACAAAACAAAAATAATTCGCGGATTTTCACAAAAAATTTCGTGGATTTTCAAAATCCTAAAACTAGCTAATTCAGCTAATTCAAATTGTGCCATGTCTAAGACGGTGTGTAAAAGCAGGCCATGAATCATGGCACTAATGTCTCCTGTAATATAATCAGCAAAAACAAAATGTCCGGCCCTATGGGAAATCGTTGATCAATTAAAAACAGACTTAGTTGATTTCTTTTTCCATTTTTTTAAAATAGTTAAACAATCTCAAATAGTTTATAACAAAAGAGCTGCAAAGATTATTGCAAAAATTATTAAAATATAAGATTTGATTTATTTCAATTTAGAGATAAAATTATCACATTGATTTACTTATCAATTTTTAAAATCAAAATTTGTTTTATTTTCATATTGTTTCTATTCCTGTCAAGAAACCATCATCTTTATACTAGATCGGTATTGATTAGTTTCCTCTGTTATCCGCTTTTGTTTGGCCAGTGAAACTTGGTCTTTTCTAAATCAGGTCAAGTTACAGTAAAATTATACTTTGGAATAAAATTCTCCATGATTTAATCATGACTCCTATTTTAAAAGAGCTAATGGGTAGATTGAGAAGGTTTTGGATTTCTAATATACAAGTAAATTTATATTTGCTTTTTTCATACTTTGGATTGAAAACAAAGCTTTAGGAGCTACGAGGTCACAAAGTCTTAACAGTTATGTTGGATAAATGTTTCTAGATTAGAGTGGTTTAAATAATGCTGTTAGACAGAAAAAAAGTTGAGTGTCAGAATTTAATGAATTTGAGCCGCGTCTTAAATCCGCCAAAAACATGTTTCAATTGTGCGCCGGCCTTAAATCTTGAACCAAGCATATTTGAGCCGCCGCCTAACTTTAAGCCGGGGCTCAAATTCTTTAAATTCGGCCTCTGCACAATTTTAATCTCTTTCAAATCCTTTTTCAATCTCTTGATCGATCCTTTATAATTCCTTTAAATCACGTTTAACCCCTTTAAATCCCTTTCCATCTCTTTAATTCCTTTTAATTACATTTCATTCTCTTTCAATCCATGGTAATCCATTTTCGATACCGTTCAATCCATTTCTATTCCTTTTAATCCATTTTAATCCACCTGCATTCTTATTCAAATACATTCAATCCACTTCGATCCCAATTAATCCATTCGATTCCTTTCCATCACTTTCATTCCCGTCTGATCACTTGCAATCCATTTCAATCCATTTAAATCCCTTTAATTTCTTTCAATCCTTTTCATCCCTTTTAATCGCTTTCTATTACCTTCAGATCCATAATCGTACTGTTCTGGTTTGAATGAGAACGGAAAGAATGGCGACCAGTTATAACGTCCACCAGCCTGTTAAAAAATAACTTAACTGACTTAAAGGTATAAGTTAGAACTATTGTTGCAATTTTATATGACATTCAATTTAAAGCAGGATATTCATGACTCACCACATTACCCTTCAAATCTTTTTTTGAACAATAATAGTGAATATAGCGTTGTTTTTTTGGCTTAAAAGTGTATAAAAAGTGTATAGTTTCTCCACTGTTTCAATGCAACTATAAGTTCCCAAGCCACTTCTATATATAAATTTGGCTCGTCTGTCTGTTTGTTTGTTTGTCTGTTTGTTTGTATCTAATAAACGTCAAAACGGCTGAACCGATCGGGCCCAAATTTTTTGTGGGACATCTAGGGACCCCAGGGAAGGTTTATGAATGATCAAAATTTCAAATATTTGTCTCCATCAAAATTCGATCTCCATTAAATTTTTTAGGATTTTGAAAATCCACGAAATTTTTTGTGAAAATCCGCGAATTATTTTTGTTTTGTTTTACGATGTACAAAAAGAGAACATGTTCACAATTATTTTAGAAGATGGGCGCGAAGCGCCCTCTAAGGCTAGTTTGTATAGAAACCAGAAATTGCAGAGGATGAAATCCCCAAATGAAGATTATAAAATCCGCAAATCAGTAGCGTCGGATTCTAGAACCAGAGAAGACCTACTCATCTTCCTCTCCTCTTCTCTCCTCGTTGTTCATTATGTATTTATATCTAGAAGCAATAAATGTACTTCTAAATAGGTGTCCCCAGACAACAAATGAACCATTACCAAAAATAGGGTGACATGGAAACGCCTCAACACGGAAATGCCTCAAAAAACAGAATCATAAAACTAATTTAATGTCGTCTTCTCTCAACTTAAAATTAAAAAGACTATATTCTAATGATTTTCACAGCCATGGCCGCAGCGCTCGGCCTCCTAATCTTGCGCGGTCAACTTCGCTACACAGTAGTAATCGTCTTCGTGTTTTCTTGAATTTGTTACAAACTTATATAGCTTAGATATGACCTTTCAATGAAAAACCTTCAAGTAAAGCGTATAGAACCTTAAATATGATACATTTCTAACCAAGAAAGTATAAAATTGAAAGGGGAATGTAATCCAAAAGTGACGATTCAATGCTCATTAAAGAGACTGTAGATATAAATTCAAATGACTCTCCATATAAAGAAGGGAATGTCCGATTTTAAACGGTACCCTTCACAGCTTAGTCTGATCAACAACAAATGAAATATTCATGTTTTTCTCTTTCAAAATCGAGTTATGTCTAAATATTAACAAATAATTGTCTTTGATAATTTATTTCAAGGGACATACCCGATTCACAATGCTATTATTCTAACCTATACGTCTCTGAGCAAACATTAGAAAGATATTATTGTTTCTCTATCAGAGCATTTCTAATTTAATCTTGTTGTTTTCTCTATGAAAGTAATTGGCGGATTCGTGCAGAAAGGAAAAAAAGGAAATTGTGAGAATTCAACACTTTTCAGGATAAACCACGACGATATCTTCTCCAGTAATGCTCAGATAAATGTGTTTAGCAAGTTAAGTCAACAGTCCCTTATTTATAAAAGATTATACATTACTTTTCTGATATTGGTGATGAATATGCTAAACTTAAACATAGAACTAGTATTAGCATAATGCTACACCGGAAAAATATACAAAACACTAAACTATTAATCTCTGTAATTAGGGAAAATATATTTGTAAACAAAAATGTGAAAACCTTTATTAACATCAGATATATTTGGCTTTATTGGAGTTATTAGTGTTTATTAAAAAACAATTGTCTCGAAATGAAGATAAAGAGACTAAGCTGAAGAAAGGTTTACTGAGGCCTTCTGCCCACTTTAAACAAAAAGTTTAACACATTAAAGGAAATATTCTAACTTTACCCAACTTGGTACACAAGTAACCTAATGTAAGAAATAAAATGGCTCAAGCTTGTTTTGCGGTTTAAACAAATGACAGATTTTCTCAAATCTGCGGACCGTGACACTAAGTCCATTAATTGGTTAGCATTTTAAGAGATCAACTGTATCATGAACTAAAACAGTCACAGCAATCCAATCGTTCTATGATCCGAATCGTTTACAAGAATTAACTGCACAAAATAAGTGCTGGCTAGATTGGCGTGCAGTTGTCTTACCTTGATCTTTAAATAGCTTTTATAAATCTTTCAGAATATAAAAAATATTGATTAATAAGAAATTTCGTTTTGCGTGTTCATGAAAATTAATAATTTTCAACACGTTTTTTTTGCTAGAAAATAGTTTATGTTCCTAGATCGTCTTGCTAATTAAAAAACACAATTTTGTTTACAAATACATTTTACTTAATTGAATTTTAATTGAACTTAGTTTTTCTAATATTTTCTCCTGTGTTATGCTGCTTTTTCTGATATGTCTTGGCCTGACCTACTCATCACCACTCGTTCAAAAGTAAAAAGATAATCTGTGACGTTAAATATCTTTATAAAGAGTCAAGGTTGTAATGCAAGGAAAGTTATTTCAGAGATGTACGCATCTTTTGTACTGCAATGTACTGTCTCTGGGCGGTAATGTAAACACAAGACGGATGTCGAAGCCTGACATGGGATCCATCTTTCACATGAAATATTCTTGTCATAGGAAAGTATTATGTGAATCATCAAAATTATCAAAATGTAATGCTTTCAACCTCCTCGAATACTAAATAAACACTGATGCATCTATTCTTGTTTACAAATTCCAAAGAGAACTGGTTTCAATATGTCTGCAGAGTAAACGCGACCACAATTAACTTTCCTTGCATTAAATCCTTGTAAAGAGTGATCTTTTCTTTGCTTTTTGTTTGTAAAAAGTTTTACATGTATAGGTTTTCGTCTCAATACAAAGCAAAATTTTGAAGAATTTTTCTCTTTTTTTCTTTATTAACGAAATTCTTGCTCCTAAATGCACGTAGAAAATCAAATGAATATTTTTGTACTACAGATGTTGTACACTATTCGTAAATACTTTCTTATATTATGATTGTAATCTATTATTGAAATAGCATTAATAATTTAAATTAACACCTAGTGAAAGATTGCCTGAAATAATCAATAACATCAGAAATAACTATAACTAAATCATAATGGACTTATAAAGCGAAATACACTAGTCCAGGCGCTGTTTGTGTGCAGTGGGGAGGTGACTTAAATTAACACCGAGTGAAATATTGTCTGAAAATGGTGTCATATTCCATGATAGCAAGAAAGTCACAAAGGAACTGAATACTTGTCTAAAACTCTAGTTTTCCACTGCCTTTATCTTTGCAACCTGAAAGTGTAAATCTTTGATATTTTAAACTGTGACTAATTTAGAAGAACTCATGATTATGAAATATAAAAGTTTACAATATCAGCATGTAATCATTATAAGGGTTAGATTATTTATAAAATTTGTGGTGAGGAATCAATTCCAGTTTTAGTTTTCCAATGTATTTACAGTCTTAACCCAATTCCTCCTGGGGGGGGGGCAATTTTACCTCCCCCATGTAGTTTTTTTTAAATAACTCAAAAAGTATTGGGCTGAGGCTGTTGAAATTTTCTAAATTTGTACATTTTTAGTTTTTTACTTACACTTCAGCTTATTTAAAATGCGGCGAAATTTTTTGCATTTTTAAAATTGCATGGTTTAGGGATTTTCAAAAATGTATATTTTATAATTTTTCGGACATTTTTCTGCAAACATTTTTACAATAAAACTTGATTTTGCAAAAAAGTTCAAATTTTGCAAATTTTGAAATTTGTTTGCAAATTCTAAAAGTAGAGCATTAGAGCTGTCCGATGATGTATAATTTGTCATATTTGGACATCAAATATGGGATTAAGAGGGGGGGGGGTCCGACGGTCCGTATCCTGGTTTTCAAATACCCCAGCAGAGATATGGTTAATCTGGAATCAAAGGGACAAACACATAAATTATGGATGCCTTCAGAGTTGGGAACTCTAGTATTGTGAATATTAATATTAATGCTTGATCTCGGATCTTGAACTTTTATTGATTTTATCTCTATTCGACGGACGGACGCGAAGGACGGAGAACTAAGAGCCAATCAGACGTCAAAGTATTGTGCGTTCAACCAATGAAAGAACAAATAAAGGCAAAAATATCAGAATATCAAATGCCAAATCATCAAAAATCTTTAAATGATCACAAAGATGTACGCTAAACAGTTGGGACAACTAATTTTCTTTTCAAAAATATCATACAATTTTACAATAAAATTAATTTTAAAGTTTAAGGTATTCTTAAACATATTTTTATGATAAAACGTCTGTAAAATGCTCTCTCTTTCACACAATCTATTTTTTTCTTCTCTTTTTCTTCTCTTTTTTTTCTCTTCTTTACTCTTCTGTTCTCTTATTTCTTTTCTTCTCTTACCTTATCTCTTATCATCTCTTTGTTTACTCTTTGTTGTTGACATTTAACCGGTTTTGAGATGAACAATGCAGTACGATCCGTTCTTATGATTTTTCTCTGATTTGTTTACATTTCTAGCATGTAGACCTATAATTGGAACGTACTGCGTTTTTACTGTATAATTCGGTATTTGATCATTTGGCGTTTGATCTTTTATTATTTTTGCCAGATAAAGTAGGAATATCCGAAGTCCAGAGATCAAGCAGATTTTCTGTAAAGTTCAAAAAGGCCTATTTTGGATATCGAGATCAGGCAATTGGTATTATGCATATCCAACACAAAAATTCCCAGCTCTAGTTTTTTTACTAAAAATCTAAAACTTCATTATGTTGTTATTTTAATAAAAACTTTTTCTTTCTATTTATCTTAGGACATATTTGGTGGAGACATTTAGTGGTGCTAGCTATCTAGTGACACAGAATATTCCAGCTTTAGTTCCCTCTGTTCCACATCTCAATACTCCAGCTGTAGTTTCTTCTATTCCAGAGCTTAAGACTCCAGCTGTAGTTCCTTCAATTCCAGAGCTCAATATTCCAGCTGTAGTTCGTTCTAGTCCAGAGCGCAATATTCCAGCTGTAGTTCGTTCTAGTTCAGAGCTCAATATTCCAGCTGTTCGTTCTAGTCCAGAGCTCAATATTCCAGCTGTAGTTCGTTCTAGTCCAGAGCGCAATATTCCAGCTGTAGTTCGTTCTAGTCCAGAGCTCAATATTCCAGCTGTAGTTCGTTCTAGTTCAGAGCTCAATATCCCAGCTGCTGTTTCTTCTAGTTCAGAATTTAAGAAGGTACCAGAATAAAAAGTATAAGATTGTTTATAAAGATTTCATTTTTAATTTACAACTCATTTTGCTCAAGTTGTATGTTCTGGAAATCATGAAGAAAAAATACAGCAATATTTCTATTGATAGTAAATAAATTTAAGAATTCGAACTCTGCGTTCGATTTCTCCTCAATTTTTTTTTCTTTGACCTGGAATCAAAACTAATGAATAACAAAAAGAAGTTGAACCGCTCAGACAAACAGTTTCCCCACTTGTACACCATTCAAATCTGAAGAGAAGTGATTGAACTACATCTGTTCGGTTCAGCTATGTCTTATAGTAAATCTTTGTTTGGATAAATATTATAAAAATGCAGGTTGGAGAAACAGGAAATGATTACAAAATTGATTGTCAAAAGTTAAAATGTATTTGTAATAATAGAAGGACAAAAAGACAGGTAAATTTTACACATTACACCTTATTTACATTTAAACCATTATGCTTTTGAATTGGTGAATTTGAAAAAAATTGAAAAAGTCGTCACTTTCTCCTCATGCAACATTTTCCAATTTCGACCAACCATAAACCTTTCCATGGGGTCATGTGGCCAATCAGTTCAGCTTTTTTGGATACAAACAGAAAGTGAAATTTATACTGGGTGTCTCAAAAAAAATGAAAATGAAAAGCAAGAAGAACTTAAACAATGCACTACGTGACTACGTTGAACCACATTGAACTTTAAGCGGCGCACAAAAAAGTGGTTCAACTTTGTATATGAAGTGGAACTTCTTCTTGCATGTTAATATTATAGATCTTATCATATATACAGGGTGTCCCAAAATAAATTTTGCAGTAGGGGTATTAATTACTGAGGAAACAATTTTCTTACAATTTTTACAATCGAAGTTTCATTAGAAATCTCTATATATTTCAAATATTTCATGATGTATTTTTTTCCCTTCTAGGCATTATGCTTTTTTTGTTACAACCAATTCTTTGAGCGTTAGTTGAAAATCGATTTTCCAGATTTTTAAAATTCTATATTTTTCACGTCTCATTTCTCTTCGCTCATCAAGTATGAAAAAACTAAAAAATTCATTAGCTGTTCGTCTAAGGTTTCATTTTTAACTAAAATTTTGGATCTAGAGCAATCTGAAAATAAAATATGCATTAAAAAACCAAAAGAACCTTGCCCAGACCACAAAAATATTTTTTTTCTTCTTGAAATCAGTTGGTACAATCAACAGCTCGTTTTTTAAACTAAATTTTTTAGTCTAACCCACCTGGGCACAAAAATAAAACTTTTTTTGTAAAAAAAATCTTTAAAAAAAATCACTTCAATTAAGAATATTTTTACTTTAGAAATAATTTTTACTCTTGCATTTTTTATTAGTCCATTTTTATGATAGGTTTAGGATATTAGTTAGTTAAACAGGCCAAAAATGTTGTATGTTTTTATGGAGCCTTCTAAGGGACTGTTCACGCATAAAAAAGTACACATTCTCAAATGTAAACTTATGTCTAAGATGAGCACACGCCGTCCAAGATATCGTTTATATTTACAAGCACATGCATGTTTCAATAATGATATTGGTTTTAGAAAAATTTCCCAATTTGATTTCTAAGGGGTCATTTTAGGAGGTCAAATTATGTTAATACCACACAAACATCGTCCTGGGTGTTTAAATAGGGGTAAACGCCCATGGTGAATCCATTTTCAATCTTATATTTTCGAAAATTTGACCTCTGAGGTCACAACTGCCATTTTTGACCTCCAAGTGGTCATTTTGAGGTCAATGGAGTACTGAAATAGGGGTGAATCAACATGACGAATTCATTCATTTTATTTTATGTCACTAACGCAACTGTCGACGGCATTATTGACCTTTTTGACCTCCGGCTCCAAGTGGTCGTTTTAGAGGTCATATTATATCAATGGAGCACTCATACCGTCATGGGTACCAAAATAGGGGTAAATCCACATGGCGAATCCAGAAGATTAAAAAAAAATATATTTTGAAATTAAAAAAGACAAAAATTAAAAATTAATAAACAAAAGAACAACTTGGATATTAAGGGGTGGGAAAAAACATGCTATTTTTTCATTTTCTTCATTTTCTCCNCCCCCACCCCTACACATAAAGCATTCACATACTCAAGTAACGATAGTAAAAAGGAAAGCAAAATTTATTTATTTTTTTCCTTCAGGTGGAAGCTTGTTGCAATTGCAATTCAAGAAAAGGAGTAATTGGGAAAAAAGGTAAAAAATGAAAAAATGTAGTAAACACAAAAAATGTTTTACTGAAAAATGAAATTTTAGACATTTGGGAGGGGCATCTATAGTCTAAAGTTAATTTAGTTTCATTATATCTTATCATCGTGATAGTAGATTTAATTTTTACATTCTTAAAAATGATTATCGTCTAATTGTATTACGAAAAAATATAAGTCAATTAAAGTTAATTATAGATTTTTGTAAAATTGTGTGTCAACTTTCTGTAATTAAAAAAAATAGAATAATGCTTTTATATTTAGATTCATTGTAAAATAACTATAATCTTTAAGAAACACAAAAAATAGTGTGAATATCTTTTTCAAAATGTTCAAGTAAAAGTAAAAACCTTTTGTTTTAGAAAAACAAAGTATTTTCAACTTTACATGCTTCTTTATATATTTCAGGGTATGGTGATAAAAATAAAACTAATAAGGTATTTACAGTATCTACAGTTTTTTTTTACCGCATTTACAGTATCTACAGTATTTACAGTATTTACAGTATCTACAGTTTTTTACCGTATACTTAAAATTTACACTAGTAGACGTAACTTTATTTTGACCATTGAAATTTGGAATTCAATTCGTATTCGTCTCTTCAAGGAAGGTTCTCGAAAAATGAAAGGGGTATAGCCTTACGTCGAATCGAATTCGACGGTGATCGATACTAATCTTACTTCCATCTGTTCCGTCTGCAAGGAGAAAATGATTAAACACGACCTATACCGAAGAGCGTAGCGTCCATACAAATTCACGGAGTTGCAATATTTCACTCAGATTGTAAATAGTTCAAGTTATTTTATTAATCATAATATTTTTATTTGTTTAATATGCAATGTACTACTTTAAACCATGAATTTTTTGGTCGCTAAGTGTCGCTAGGTGCCACGATTCAAACACGGAACCTCTTAAGTATTGAGAGCAGAGACACTAGCGGCCAAATACTTGTTGTTTTCGATATATTTGTTGACTTTAAAAGTCACTATAGTAAAATAAAGAGATCTAAAATGGATATTTCTAACATTTATTTAAAAAAACGAAAGTTTTGAAATATTTGCATATAAGGGGGAGTTAAAATTGGTTGATTTAGAAATTAACAAAGGAATTAATGGTGGATATTTGATGGCACTTCATGGGAGTGTTGTAGAGCTTCATATTGGTGGAGCAGATCAACAGGAACTGGGACAACAGGGCTTATCAATGGAACTAAGGCAATGCAACTCGAGATAGCGGAAACTTTGGTCGGAGCCGGGCACAAGTTTCCTAAGTAAGCTTCTCAAGAAGTTAATAGGGAGATCAGAGGTATAAGCACGCCTGCTGTGAACTCAGTATCTGCATCATCAGCATGAAGGAGTCAAGAGGCTCCCTGTGTCGGAGCTGTTACCAGCCAAACTCTCCTACCCTGACTGAGGGCTGGGGTGTGTAGAGGGTGAGGCGGGGAACGAAGGAGCGAGGGTTACATGTGTGTGCTTCATGGCGGAAATGGATCGTGTGTATACACACATCTTGAGAACAGTTGACGGCAATTGAGTCGGTAAAATCTTCTTCCTTATATTTCGAATTTGTGTTAACAATATTGTAGACTATAAAACAAATAAAAAATATAATTAAATATTAACTTTTTACGAATACATTGATTATAGGTTGTAATATCTGAATGATTAATTTTAAATTCAATTGAATTATTTACAATCTGAGTAGAATACCGCAACTTGTTGTATTTGTATGGGCGCTATGCTCTTCGTTTTCAAACCTCTTAAGCGCCAATATTTGTAAGTAACCATGCGAAACCTTTATTTCTTGATGTATGTGTTTAGAAAGATTTGAGCATTGGAAATTCAGATCTCTATAGTGGAGAGTTTAACTATAGTTTAGAAGGTAGGTCAATCTGATGTTCATTAGCAGTACCAGTAAAAGGCGATCCTTTATTCGATGAAGTAGGTTTCGACATTCCTCTTCAGTTTCTTATCTATGAAACAAATGAAACAAATTACAGTATTAAAAAATCTTTGCCAACAAAAAGTTTGAAAATTGTTTTAAGTCTTTATGGAGAACTTTTTTTCACTTATCAAAAAAAGCCTTTCCTTTTTTCCATATTTTGCATTTTCTTTTTTCTTCTAATTCATATCAAGTGGAATGATGGTCGTCGTCTTCCATCCTTATTTTATCTTATATCTTAGCAAATATACCGGCAGAGAACTTAATTATAAATAGCGAGACGTAGTTGAACAACAGAGACTCAGTTGAACTACCTCTCTGAACTCGAACCAGCCACTCAAGAAAATTGGTTTAACTTCATGGTAGATTTTTAGGGATAAAATTGGGGTCCGTCCTAGAGAGTTAAGACACTTTCTGGGCCAAGCGCTACGGCTAGGACAGGCTAGGGGGCCGAGGCTTAGGCCACATGTCTTACATTTAAGATCCATGTACAAAATTGATAGGAGGGGGAGGGGGGTCCAAAAATCGTTCCCTGGGTAATTACCTAAAATTGTTACAAATTACAAAGATAGAGCTATTTTCAATCGAATGACAAAAGAAAAAAGTCATTCCGCTTTTCATGGATATTGACTCTTGGTTCAACAGAATTTTTAGTTTAAAATATATGTTTGGCATCAGATTGCAAAGATAAAAGTGTTATAAAATTAGAGTTTGTGGCGAGTAATCTGTTGCTTTGTTAAAACTCTTAAAATGTTTAAGGAAAGACTCAATTCCACTGGCCAAACAGAAACGGTAAAATCACTTATACTTTTTTCCATCTTGCGGTAATTTATTTTTATTTGGCTGATCCGTAATAAATTATATTATGCCGACAATTCTAGATCTAGAAGGAGCCCAACAAAAAATTAATAAATAGAAAATACGAAAAACTTTCATCTGATCGATAATGTGGAAGATATTATCGTTTTTCAAGCTTAAAAATGGTGTTGTAGTTTAGTCCTTAGTCCCTTAATTTACAACCAAAAACATTTCATATATCATGAATAGGTGTCACCCTTAAATTGTCTGATAAATGTGAAGATATAAAATATATAATTTGTCCATAATGTATCTGAATGTAAATATATAAAATATATAATTTGTCCATAATGTATCTGAATGTAAATATATAAAATATATAATTTGTCCATAATGTATCTGAATGTAAATATATAAAATATATAATTTGTCCATAATGTATCTGAATGTAAATATATAAAATATATAATTTGTCCATAATGTATCTGAATGTAAATATATAAAATATATAATTTGTCCATAATGTATCTGAATGTAAATATATAAAATATATAATTTGTCCATAATGTATCTGAATGTAAATATATAAAATATATAATTTGTCCATAATGTATCTGAATGTAAATATATAAAATATATAATTTGTCCATAATGTATCTGAATGTAAATATATAAAATATATAATTTGTCCATAATGTATCTGAATGTAAATATATAAAATATATAATTTGTCCATAATGTATCTGAATGTAAATATATAAAATATATAATTTGTCCATAATGTATCTGAATGTAAATATATAAAATATATAATTTGTCCATAATGTATCTGAATGTAAATATATAAAATATATAATTTGTCCATAATGTATCTGAATGTAAATATATAAAATATATAATTTGTCCATAATGTATCTGAATGTAAATATATAAAATATATAATTTGTCCATAATGTATCTGAATGTAAATATATAAAATATATAATTTGTCCATAATGTATCTGAATGTAAATATATAAAATATATAATTTGTCCATAATGTATCTGAATGTAAATATATAAAATATATAATTTGTCCATAATGTATCTGAATGTAAATATATAAAATATATAATTTGTCCATAATGTATCTGAATGTAAATATATAAAATATATAATTTGTCCATAATGTATCTGAATGTAANGTTTAAATTTTTGTTTTTATCAATTGCATTTTTGCCGATTTATAGGTTTTAAAACTAATAAATTGTATTAAAAAATTGAAATTTTACATAACAGCCGGATTTTTAAGTATAGCAACAAACTTTGAATCTAGTTAAAACAAATTTTGAGAGAATAGGTGGCGCCACCTGTAACAACCTCTTTTGATGGGTCAAGATTCAAAGCTGAAGAATCATATAACAAATGATTACACAGTTGCGCAGGAAGTTGAAGGGACATTCAACAAATTTGGACGCATGCTATTTTTAAACCGCGCAGTGTCGCTGGTTGAATCGACATGAAACAAACTTTGTGAGATGATAATTATATGGAGGCACGGCTCGGGCGGCACAGCGAGCGGAACAAACACCGGTTGATAGATCATGTAACAAACTTTGAATTAAGGCGACTGAAAATACATTCAACAAAATTTGACGAATGATTCTGCTAAGGTGTATTTGAGTCTGGTGCTCCAACAAATTTTGTTAGATGAAAATTTGAAATTTCTTAGAGTATACTCTCCTAGACTGTTCAAATACCGAGATTCTTACGTATTGTATAAACCTAGAGTACACACCATTGGTATGGTATCTTTACACACACTCTTTTGGTACAGACACACACACACACATGACGTTTCCGCCCCCTGATGTAAATATATAAGATATATAATTTGTACATAATGTATCTGAATGTGTAAAGGTGCTGGGAACCTTGCTGGGAACCATAAATTTGAATAAAAAAGGATAAGATTCGAATTCTCAACCTGAACTGACAACCCTGTACCATTGCAAGAAAAATTAATTTTATATTTTAGGAGGTTTAACCGCAAACTCGAAAATTCCTGAAAACTCAGAAAAGCCTAAAAACTCGGAAAAGCCTAAAAACTCGGAAAAGCCTAAAAACTCGGAAAAGCCTAAAAACTCGGAAAAGCCCGGAAATGTGAATAAAGGAACAGATTACCAAGATGATAATCAAGAAAAGCCTAAAAACTCGGAAAAGCCTAAAAACTCGGAAAATCTCGGAAATGTGGATAAAGGAACAGATAACCAAGATGATAATCAAGAAAAGCCTAAAAACTCGGAAAAGCCTAAAAACTCGGAAAATCCCGGAATTGTGGATAAAGGAACAGATAACCAAGATGATAATGAAGATTATGAAATAGAATATCTAGAGATTGAATATTTATAAAATATAAAATAGCAAAAAAGTACGAATATAAAAAGTTACATAAAGATGCAAAACAAAGAATTGTCCTTTTTTAAGATGACATTAGATTGCAAATAGTTAAAAGTAGAAAAAAGTAGTTTGAGGCGAGAACTCAGTTGTTTAGTGTCGGTTTTAAAATGTTTTGATTGTTACTTCTATCAAATTTTACCACGCATAAATGAATATTAGGAAAGTATATTAAGCATATTTTGCCATTAATATTTAGCTATATTTACTCTGTTAGTTTTTTAATACAAATAAATTAATTGTTCATTTAAAGGGACCGTTCACTTTTTTGGGTAATTTCAGGGTAAACTAAACAGCCTAAGCGCTATTCATCGGTAATAGTCTTACTTTTCAAAGACAACTGTGGCCGGAGAAAAAGCCGATTTTTCGTTCAGAATTTGAGCGCAAAGGAACGGTTCCTTTCTATACACACTATTTGATGTTTTTTTCAGTAACAACAGTCCAATAAAATTTAAATTTATCATATTTTAATGTCATTATGTGTTCGTTGTTACATACTAAAATATGAAAACTTTTGACATTTGAGTTAGCAAGAAATTTACGTTTTTCGCTTTAAAACACGTAAACTGTGTATACAAAGACGACGTCCTCTACGGCAATCAATTAATCATTACCCGTATTACGGTTCGTAGATTCACTT